ATTGCCGCGCCTCCCGGGGTAGCAACCCCCAATTTCCAGTGGGTTTTTCTGGCCGCGTGCGCTCTTCACTTACGCTGCAATCCGTGGAGGCGGTAGCGGTGCGGCGAGCGCGTGCGGACACGTGTTACACCCAGCGGCCATCGCTCCCGCCGCCGCCGCCGCCGCGAGCACCCACCGCCGGGGGCGAGGGGCCGCGCGCCAGTGCCCACCATTACGGTAAACGTTTCCGTTTAAGAAAACCACCCTTCCGACACGCAATGGCGCCCCTTAATGAATTTCACATCAGCCCCTCTGGCACAAGGCGACGAGCATGGGTGGAGGATTCCCAATTATTTCGGGGGCGCGCTCCACAAAGACACGAACGTTGCTCGAATAATTCGCCCGAGATGGCCCCCTTGTGGTCGCCTGCTAAACGCTCCCCTTGAACGTGTTTCCAGCCACTGGCATATATTTATTATTCCTCGTGCTCTTCTGTGAATTCGGTTTTGTTATTCAGTTATTACGAATTCCATGGCTGATAATTGTACGTCACTCCAATCAATTGTATACGAAACGCCCAATTATTTTTTGATGAACTCTTCCAGGATTATATTTCAACAAATTCCGCTCACTGTTACGAATGTGATGTCGGGAAATGTGTATCATTTTGATCCTCGCAGCACAAAGACACATTACAGACTTCTACAGAAGACTTCGAAAAATTCTGCTTCGCATGAAATGCGGTAGATCATGTTAGATATAGAATGTTTTCACGTCATCTTTATGTTGAGAAAAATAAGGACGTATCACAGTAATTTGATAGACTAACAATAAGCATCAGCAAGAGCATTCAAAATACCCTTGAAAGCAAAAATCTTTGTTTCTTCGTGATCTGGAATAACGAGTTTGTAGAAATTGAATTCTACCTCTTCTTAAACAGAAACTCGCATTTCGTAAACTGCAAAAACTAAGAAAATTATGAAAATACAATTAATGTATTTATAAAATATACAGCAGAATTTTTAAAAGTTAGTTGATCACCTACCTCTCACGAAAAAGGCACAAATGGTTTAATCAAGTCAATGTTCTAGAAATGTTACTCTATAATTCATCAATTATAATTACTATTGCACATGTTAGAAATCTTTACAACTATAGGTACAACTGTATGTTACTACTGTATGCACAATTATGTTACTATTATACGTACTCTTCTTTAATCAATACTAAATTTGACAGGCAGTTCTCGGAGAACCGAGAATAAAATACATAGCGAGACACGAAGAATTTGAGCTGGACAAAGTGGAAACGTGGCAAGTTTTACCATACGTTCTTCCAATTGTTTTACCTCTAATTTCACAATCAACATTGTCATATTACTTCTCCACTATATTGCTTGACTTTCCTTCAAATCTTGTGACAATTTAAGTTTATGTATTATACTATCACATTGAAATTCATGTCATACATTTACTGAATAACTCACCAAATAAATTTAGCACAACAAAATGAGTTCATGTCCCCTAAAGCTTTTAGTCCCAGTTTAACCAACAAATAAACCAACCAAACACCTCGGAGAATTTCTTGATACGCGGCTGACATGGAAAGCCAGTAACATAAACAAAGCCAATAAAGCATAAGCCGCCCTGTTGAAATTATATCCCCTAATTAATTAAAATCCGCCCGAAGGCTGATCTTACACTGCTTTCATATAACCCTGCAATAACCTCAACTCGCCACTAGTGAACGTCACTTAGGTATACTCATACTTGGGTTTACAACTTTCTACTTGTACCTAAGTGACGTTCATGAGTGCCGAGTTTGAGATTAGGTCTATAATTCCCCATTGAAATAGTAATAATCATTATCTTAAGTTTTCTTTTACATTTCAAAATGTCCCTGAGATAAAAGAACGTCTCGAAACGTTCTACAATAACAGGTTATGATAAAAATAATTTATGAACATTTGTGTTATCAAATAGTTTATTAAAAAATCTATCTTGTCTAAAAAATATCAGTACACTTTTAAAAAAATCTGAATATAAATTTAAACTTGACCATAAAAGTATTTTATGAACAAATGTAAGAGAAATACATAAATAATCGTCACGGCTCTATTCTCTCTTTTCCTATTCCCTCGAACTCGAGCCCATCTGAGATGTAACAGAAATAGAATCAAAAAGGTAAATATGAATTCACCCCGACTTCACATCCAAAAATGTTTTATTAAACATTTTCAAAAAAATTTCACAAATAAAACCCATAATATTAGCGCACTGTATAACAAAATTAGACTCATAAACATATCTGAATTCACTTTGATCAGAAATAATAAAAATGTTCAAAAAATAAGCTACAAAATGCGCAACTACTCGCTCAGGGCGTAGTAGAAATAAGATTCGATATAAATTTGAATTCACCTCAACCAGACAATATTTTTTCAGGAATATCACCAGTAAACACTGCGGCTACTCCCTCAAGGTGTGACTAAAACAGGTTTTGTATAACACATTTGAATTCAGTTTAACAAGAAATATTAAAAAATTTCAAAAAAAAAAATCACCAATACAAATTCGGGTAACTTTCTCAATGCGTGGCAATCGCAGATTTGATGCAATACAAATTCGAACTCACCGTAACCAGATACGTGAAAAAGTATATTTTTATTAAAAATGTTGAAAACTACAGAAGGCAAGCGCGTGAGTCAATCCATCTCCTCGATCTCGGGCCCCCCGGAGGTGCCGGCGCGCGCGGAGGCCGTGGAAGCCATGGAGGGCCCGTCCGCCGACGGCCGGTGGTGCATCTTGGTGAGCACGGGCGCGCATGCTCTCTCCAGCTCCTTGAGCTTGCGCTCCAGCGTGGCGCGGTCCGCCATGGTGTTGGCGTCCAGCCAGTGCATGGCCTCGTTGGCCAGCCGCGTGCAGCGCGCGCGCTCCTCCGCCCCCACCGACTCGCCGCCCGCGCCCTGCGCCGACGGGGCGACAAGCCCAGGTTAAATACCGTCAATGGGATTTACAGTTCTTGCAGCTCGTGCTTGATTGTTTGATTAGAGATTCTGTGCTTATAAACGGCTAATATTGTAAGCCCCGTAAGTGTAGTGCGTGTCTATCACGAGAGAAGCTGGTGATTTTTCCCGATTAATGGTGAGATTCGGCGCCTACACATCCGTCGGCTTATGGGGTTTTCCCGAACAAGATATTTCCCATCAGCCCAACCGAAACAAGCTCTAAACTCCAGACTGGTCTCGAGACCTGTGTGGTAGTGTAGTGCATGTGAGTGTAAGTGAAATAAGTAAGAAGTGAAGATAGGTAGATGAAGGAATGATCGCGCGCGGGCCGTGGCCCGTTTCTTCGTATACTGCTCCGCTATTCGCCTGGTGTTGTTCGGAGAAACCAAGGAAAACTACCGATCAGAGCAGCCGTCCGCTTGAATTCTCTTCCAGTCTGCGGTTGAATTCGACCAAGCTGTCTAGCTATAGTGTCTCAAATCCTTCCACAGCCGGGAGTCAAACCCAGGACTTCCCGGTCAGAGACCCTGCTGGGATATCAGTTGATGCCCTGAGCCACCGTTGCCAGTGTGCATCTCATATTTGCTCGTTTTGCACCAATTCGCAAATTCTAGTAATTTCTATTTTCGAAAGTCATCCATATTAAGTTGATGCTCAATTGTTTTGTTTTTGCGAAAACAACTCGATATTTAAGTTCCGGAAAAATAATTTCTCAGGTTCTATTATAATATTCATGTTTATATATTCAAGCACAAACTTATCTTGTAATTGGTCATATTTTTTCGTTTAGTTCATTAAATATACTCTTTAATTCCAGGAAAAAAACGTTATCACTATATTAATTACACGCGTGCAGTTAAAACACCATCCTGCTGTTGAACTTCCACAACTACCAATCAGAATTCAGAAAAAATAATCAAAATAATTTAATTAAGTCACTATACCACAGACGTTGCCAAGATATTTCCAGTCGGTCATGGAACATCACAGATTACGTACCTACATCAACTACGTATAAGAAATGAATGAGTAAATAAAATAAGTGAAGTAAACGTTGGTTTGACACTAGCTATCCAATGGAACATGATAAAATATATAATAGCAATAAATAAAATGTTTGCCTATAATACATTTGGTCTTAGCATCTTACAAATGTAAACATTATAAACGAAGTAATCGGTATCAGCCAAGTAAAGATTTCATGGCTTTGCCAGCTTCTAATTTCTTCTAAAATATGTTCAATATCTTATGTTTGAAAAAACTTCTTTATACTCTTAAGTTACTATGGTGATCATCAGAACACAATTCGAGGCCTACTTAAATATAACATACACGTTTGATGACGTATATTTTTAAATTATACCTAATCAAACGTATGCGTCGAATGGTAAATACTACATGATTGTATTTCTGAAAATTAAAATTATTCTTAACTGGAAATGAAAAGTTATTGAATGTAACACACAAAGGGGTACAATACTGCACTTGTGGTAAATAAGAAAACTTGATCCATCCGCCGCTCATTTTTTTTAACATGCCACTCATGCAATTATACCCTCTTTTATCTACACTTTTCGTTAATTACTGTAAGTGACTCGGGGAAGTAATAAGAATGACATGTGTTAGACGTGTCACATATTAACACAATGGCATCAACATTATAGACCATGAATTTCAACATTTTAAAATAAAACATGTAGTATCACCTATAGTAAATATAATATATATAAAAATATAATCAGTTACATGATTAGTTAATACATGAATATATAAACTTGAATATTATAATAGAATATGAGAAATAACAATTCTTGTACTGAAATATCGAGTTGCTTGAAAACGCGAAAAAATAGTACGAGTATCAACTTAAAATAATGGTAACGTTTGGAAATCAAAATTAGTTTCCATATTGGATTTTGAAGAATAGATTTCATTGCGAAAAAAATGACTATCGTCGATATCGTAGTTGAAGAAAGTCTTCGAAAAAATTTTGCTATTTTCGAAACATCAAAGATTTTCTCGAAAATGATATCTGCGCAATTCCATTAAGAGTTCTTTATATATACAAGAGGAAGTTTAATAAAAACAGTTTGAACAATTTTTGAGAAACTTTTGGAAATGTTATGTAAAGAGGTCATGTAAATTACCCCTCAAAAATCAAAGTAAGCATTTCAAATTCGAGGGGTTCCTACATCGATTGTGAAATATCAATTTTGGTGAAAATCCTATATACGGTTAGACCGCTAGGGCTTTTCACAAACAGATGATGGACGGGCAGACATTTTCCGCAAACCAATTTTTAGGTACCAAGGACCGTTATCATCAGCGACCATTATCAAGAATCGTCCCAAATCAGTTTTCAGTAGGACACAAAACGTGGATTTTGACAACTCAGTGTATTAGTAGAGGAAGTTATTATTTACACAAAGAAACAATATTTATCCATGTGTACTGCATAAGTTTGGTTGGAAAAATGTCGAAAAATCGCATTTTTTCCCTCTCAGTATTATAATATTTTATACTGCGTAAGCAGTGTAGAAGAAAGTAAATTGGTGCACTTGTAATATTACTAAGAAATATGTTTACCAATAGGGGGTTTTGTCAATAGAGCATGTCTCGTTATTAAGATGAAAAATCGAATTGCATACTTATTCTTCGATTTGGGCCTAAGGCATTACATCTCACCATGTCATCTTTTGAAAAAGCGAGTTTTCCACTGACCTTTTGTACTTACTAGACGTTTCCCAGTACACCAAATTGGTAGTATTAATAACCCACAAAACGTGAATTCCATCACCATGAGGAGGAAGTTATTTACTACACATAAGAATGCGTATTTTCTTCTTTTTTTGGTATCAAAGACCTACAATACGACTTTTTGGGCGATAAATCGCCGTTTTTTGCGGCCTGAATTGCATAATGTTATTTCCAATTCGTATATAATATGCAAAAAAAGTTGATATTAATAAATAAATTAGATACAAAGGTATTTTTGTTGCAATGAATAATGAAATTGTGTTCTTGATGACTAATAAAATTCTGTATGTAAATACTTTAACTGATATAAAACATTAAAATAAGAATGTGTCTGGGATACATTATTTGTATGTAAAACATATGTTATAAAAGAGTTCGACCAGTATTCCTCTTCCAACTCAATCATGTGAATCATACAGCTAATTTTCATGATTTGGTGGACCATTTCTTTTTTCAAAGTACTGTTGCATGTATCAATTTCAAAATCAAATATCTTTAACCTTACAGCCCTCTTTAAATCAAGCCATCACTGTACTTTGTGTGTTTACTTAGAGTTTAGTAAAATTTGCTAAAACATTATTAATAACTGTATAATTCATGTTGTTAGTCTTGAAAAGGATAAAAATTTGGGAATATAGGATGTATTGATATTTTGTAATCATACTAGATTGAATTTGCTGAACAATACCAATAGTGGGCAATATCCATCATAGAGAAGGGGAAAACCAGTGAAATACCTTCAATAACTGCATAGGCGTTAATAGCTTGGTCATTCATCTCTCTATACAGCAGGAAAATATGTATGAAGCAAAATTTTGAATGTTATCTTCGACAGTTAAAATTTATTTTAAGTAAAATTGAATTCGGCTCCAAATTCTCTAAGTAATTTAATCGTACATTTTCCGTTAGTATAATTTCTTTATTGACGTAAAGATCTTTGGGAGTGTAGGGCATGATAACAGACATATTTCATTGTTAATTCAAATTCTATTTAATAAATTAGAACAATGTTTTGTTCCTGAAGAATATTATAAATGAATAATAAAATCTTTAGCAGAATATGTTGTAAATTGGATCCTAATCAATTTTTAATGTACTTATTTAGACAACGATTCGACACAATGTTTTTGTGACTTCTTCAGACCTATATTATTTTGTAACATACATTTAAATTCGTGTGTGCACAGGATGCATATTTTTCAGTCATCCAACTCCTCTACGTATTCATAAGTAATGCCTATTGACTGTAAACAAAGGGGATAATAAATTTCCACTATTATACATATAAATTTAATACGTATTTTAAAAACCACTTACCATTAAAGGTGTAAGTACTCATGTAGACTTGTCTCAAAGGTGTATTCTTGCGTACCACACTCACAATGTATTTAATCTAGTAAATGCCATGTCTGAAGATTGTGTCCACACTGACACCAAATCGCGTCAAGGAGCGTTGTGCGGCAAGGTATAATGGAGGAAGTTTGTGGTAACCACAGCACGTAACCACACCAAGTCAAAGATCGCCGTGCGAAGAGGGAAAAGAACGATATTTGAATTAAGAATTTGATCTGTAATTTTATAACTGTCCTTCATAGTGGACGTATCTAACTGTATATTTAGAGTGTATTTGGTTCTGGGGTGTGAATCACTTCGGTATTTAAAACTTTTCAAATCTTCTTGTTCCAGTATTGCCACTCCACTCCAATAAATTTTCTTTCACGTGCTTAACCAGTCTATGATTGACCAAGTAATTGTAGCGATGTTTTTATGGCGGAATGTGGCGGTGATCTTTCTCAGCTGGAGGTTGAGATCGGGCACCGCCCTACTCAACGGCTGGAAGGGTTGTCCCCAACCTGGTCTCTCCCACCAGTGAAGCACTGCCACGACAAACCGGAAAAGGCCCTAACCTCCCGACGGGTCTCCCGACGTGTGTTACTGTAGTGTGTGTAAGTGTCAGTGTGTGTGTGAGGGGTGAGGTTAGGACAAGGAAGAGGAAGGAAGTATCGCGCGCGATCCATAGACCTTTGGTTAGGGCACTGCTCCGACATTCGCCTGGTGTTGGTCGGGGAAACAACGAAAACTACCAATCAACGCTGCTCGAATTCTCTTTCAGACAGTGCCTGAATTCGACTTAGTAGCGAGTGTCGAAAATCTTGCCACCGCCTGGATTGGAACCTTATGACCTCCCGGTCAGAAACACTGCAATGATATCAATTGATACCCCGAGCCACCTAAGCCGGTTCCATCGATGAAATGTCCATTCATTTTAAAGAACGAAAAATTAATATTATTTTTAACCAAGTTTATTCTCTGTATATCTGTTTTAAACTCCTTTTCGTAGTCCAATGCGAATTCGCATCCATTTTGTAGATACTTAATCTTACAACGTTCTTTTTCATTCTTTGGGAATTGGGAATTTTACTATCTAGAAGAACATATTCAATTTACTGTTAAGTTAAAAAGCGATCTAATTTCTTTTACTCTTAAAATATGATTTACTTTTTGGAACTAGATCGAAATAAAATGGAAGTGTTACATTTGTATTGCAGCTTCTTTGGTGTCATATATGTTCTTCTATTGTTGTATTCGTATTTTATTTTTGTAAAATCTCTTCAAAATGTACTTATTTAATAAATCTTCCGGGAGAGTAGTGGTCTAGTAAAATATTAGATACAATGCCTAAATTTGAATCATGGAATTGGAGATTTCTAAGTAAGAGTCCTTAATCCACCAAGAAAAAAAACAGCTCAATTTTGTTCCATTGGGTGCAGAGGGTAAATGTTGAATATCTAGTCTGTTTATGTTGTTTTGCGGTATCAATTGCACTGTATACAACCATTGTAATTAATACATTATTAAGTCAAAAAGGAGCCTATTATATTCAACTTTGTTAAAGAAATTTTTAAAAAATTATGAAAAATATTTTAAAATATGTTGATAACGTTCCAATACAACAATATATTATTTTATAGTATTTTAATATTCTTTGATAATGTTATTATAGATCATGATATAGTTCTATTTTGTTAAAAATAAGTAAATTTAATACTGATTAGTTAACTGTTTGCAATCATGCCCTTACAATATTAAACGACACATTTAACTTGAGACATTACAATATCGTTCAAGTGCTACAACCCTGGCCCAACTCGAGTCCTGCAGATTTAAATTATGACATCTTTACTTAATCACACAAGTTTTGCACTTAAATTTAGCACAATAATAGAACACTTTCAATTATAAATTTACTTTGGGCAAAATCGACCTAATGTTGTGTATTGTTAATTATGCTAGACGAGTCTAACGAAAATTCTCAAACACGCCAAAAAATAATAAACTAGCAGTGCAACAGTGCAGCACATACTTCTTCACATATTTTTAAATTTGTACTTTTCGAATATTCAGAGATCAATGAAAATTAGACTTGCGCCATTCTTTTAAGCGTTTCTTCTCTCTGTGGAAAAAATAGATGGAAACATTTTGAGGATTTGTTGTAATTTTAACTTCATAATTTCAGGCACAAACTACTAGTTTCTAGGAGAAAATTACTAGTTTCTTCCAAAACTTGTTCATGACCTTTTTTAAAGAGCATATTTTTTACAACAGACTTTTCCTAATGCAAAATCTCAATCTTCATTTTGTAGTTTGGAAATGTTAACTTTTTGCAATTTTCGAAAATACAGTTTGCCGAAAATGGTACTGGCACTATATTTTTTACAATCCTTTGATGCACACGTCGAGAAAATTTAAACAAAAAACTGAAGCTGTTTTTTGAGAGAAAAAATGTTTCAAATAAATTTAAAATTGCCAATATTTCGCGCAAAATTACATGAAAACTACTTATATTTTCGAAAAATTGAACATCACCCTATTTCAAAATGTCTTTAAAGGACAGATTTTGTTCAGATAAAAATCTCTATCTTCAATATTCTAGTTGTAAGAAGCCTCCCAAAAAATAATTGCACTTTTGCCATCTTGGAAAATCAGTGATGTCAACAAACATGGGACTTGCGCTATTCCTTTAAGCGTTCTTATTCTATTCGAGAATAAAGTTTAATCAAAACATTTGGAGCCAAGTTTAAATGGAAAGTACTCTCCAAAGTCAAAATATTCGTTTAAATATCAGAAAGCCTAGAAATCGTTCAGATCGATCTGGTAATATCAATCTTGGAGAGAATTTGCTAGGATAAACCACACCCGGACAGACAGGCGTTTTGCTGTCAATCGATTTTTCGTTGTCAAGGACCTGAAAAACATGTATTCTAGTTACACCACGTGTTAGGGGAAGTAATTTACTGCATTCATGATCATAATTTATCCACTTTTTCGATACGAGGGCCCGACAATAAGAATGTTTGTGTCAAAAATTCCCAGTTTACCAGCACACAATTAAAACACTTTATCTTACAACCCTTTAAGGGTGAGAAAGATAAATTCTACACAGAGAAGTTAAGTCTCTTCTCCGAAAGATCGCGTCAGCTATTACGTTTCGTTAGATTACCACCACACTGCAGCACCTCTCAACATATACGGCTGCGAGCGATGATGCCAACGAAGATTCACAGAATACTGAAGGACGTCAGGATTTCTGAGAGAGGGCGTGTATGTTTGGCAAAAGAGAGACGTTTTGTGAAACAATATTAAGACCAGCGAAATGCCATTAATTACTATGAGTGCCCGTCGAAGCTAACATTCCCAATTATAACTAATTTTCTCTGTTAACTTTATTTAATGACACCAAATTATTATTTTCAAAAGGCTTTTTGAGGCGTTATTTATTTATCTATGTATCCTCTCTGACAACGCGCGTATACACGTTTTTTGGCGCCAGCCGCTGCAGCGTCACGATTTATTTTGTAGCAAATCAAGGCAAAAAATTCTAGCATTATACCTGTATTTCACGACTAGTGAAAACCTTAAATATCTTCATCTCAAAATTTTATTTTTACAGTCGTGCCATATTACAGACGTGTAATATTACAGTATATGAACGATATATCAAAAAAATACCATTCCACGAAAGAAATGCTGAAATGAAAAGTTAATATTTTGACGGACATAAACATGTTCTAAAACTACCCGCATCTTCAACCGCACTCCAGGTGTACACAAGGAACAAACCTTTAATGCGAAATTTTATTTTATTGCAAATTCCAATTGGATCCAAAATTATTGTTTTTTCCGAAGCGATGTTTTGCGCGAGTAAATAAGGAATTTTCATTCGCGCGACAATTGTCTCACAGTTGTTCGTAAGAAGCAATTTTAAGTGAGATAAATTATAATGTAACAGTCGGTTATAATTTTTAAGGCTTGAATCATTGTTAGAGGATTCAATTATAAGTTCAAGGATCGTTTACACGTCGCAACTCCCGCTTTGCCCCTGCTGAATTCCTATTATCCCAAACCCCAATATCAATATCCTCGATCTAATCCACCACGCGTATTAAAACTTTTCCACTGGGGACGCCTGCGTATTGCCTTCATCGCTATTACCATGACCCATAATTGTGCACCGGGAATTGCGATGAATAATTGCAATAAGCGGTAGACAAACTCGGTAAAGAATGAATTACTTTGGGTTATTTTGTTGCTTCTTATTTCACCCTAGCTACATCTTCATTTATTTTGTTTTTGTATACTTTCCTATTGAAGAACCATTTCCCATACAAGAAATTGCCCTAATGAAAAAAACCTGGGGGTAACTCCTAGTGATCGTATTGCCTTCTGCCGCAGGTAATCGGATTCAAATCCTAGCTGATCCTTGTGGAATTTATGGAGGATGAAGCGGGTTGTAGAAGGTTTTCTCGGGGTTCTTCCTCTCATTTTCCCCATGCTCCATCATTTACATCATCGTCCATCCATACAACCAATCTATTCAATTATGGTTATATGTGCATTGAAATGGGAAAATGCTACTACCGGAAGTATTTATCTGTAATCCTATGAAGTAAGTTATCCAAATGGCTAGGATGATAATAGAAAATACTAGATTGTCTCGGCAAAATTTCCGTTGTTTGTAAATCATTGTTTTGGAAGTTTTAAATCTTCATACCAGAAACCAGCATCTAACGTATCTAATAATCCGAAAGCGATACAGACCCAAAATGTTATAGAACATCCAAGATCTCATTTTGTATATCACGACATAAATCATATTCCGGGAGAAAAAAAACCTGTTTTAAAGAGTTACCATAGGACGCATTTTATCCTATGGTAAAGAGCGTAATATGTGGCGTGGTTTGTATGAACACCTCTCCTTTCCCAGTGCTATCATAGTCTATAAATTTTGATTTGTTTCGCCTTAAATGTGTGTGCTGTAAGAGTGTGAGGATAATTCATTCATCAGCAATATCACACTAAAGGGATTTAGTATGGTTTCATACAAATGTATTAACAAGCGTTATCTTTCCCTAGGGTATTATTGAACGTGTCTCCTAATAAACGTTATAAGTTTCAAGGGCATTTAGAGGAGTCTAAGATGATCATTTTTACCAATAGATTCGTGATGGGAAATTTCATGTAATGATGTTAACAATAATGATAACATTTGCTCATGATTGCAATGATTGTATGATAACATTTGCTCATGATTGTTAGGCATCTTCTTAAGCGATGTTGTTCGGCAGGTCACCTTCTGGCGCAGTCAATGAGGTTTTTGGGCACCTGGCGAACATTAGTGCTTATCGAGTTGCCTTAAACGCATGGGCTCATTGCACATGAGTAACTTCCAACACATGTTCTTAAGCAACAAATGATCATTGACCTTCTCCACATGCAGGGAAGTGCATGTGGAGAAGCACAAGCACAGGAAGTGTATGACATGTATTCTCAGATAACTGCACAGAGAGGCGAAAGACGATGTCCATTGTTGAAGATGAAAACGTAGACGAAAACGAAACAATAAGGAAGGAAAACGTAGACGAAAGAGGAGAATGAAGAAGAAGACGAAGACGAGGACGAAAAACGAGGACGAACACGAGAGATGAGGGCGAAGGCAAAGATGAAGACGAAATCCAAATAACAAAACACGAAAGGCGGAAGACGAAGGCAAAGACGAAGATGAAAGTCATAAAAGAAGACGAAAGGCGAAAGGCGCAGGCGAAGAGTAAGAAAAGGTGGTGAAGAGAAGCACATCAAAGCCACGCACCTCCATGGCGTTCTTGACGCCGTAGATGTAGGACTCGAAGGCGTTGCGGGTGGCGACGCGCTCGCGCTGCTCGTCGTCGTCCTCGCGGTAGCGCGACGCCTCGTTCACCATGCGGTCGATGTCGTTCTTGCTGAGGCGGCCCTTGGTGATGGTGATGTTGCGCTCCTTGCCCGTCGACTTGTCCTGCGCCGTCACGTTGAGGATGCCGTTGGCGTCGATGTCGAACGACACCTGGATCTGCGGCACCCCGCGCGGCGCGGGCGGGATGCCCGTCAGCTCGAACTTGCCCAGCACGTTGTTGTCCCGCGTCAAGCTGCGCTCGCCCTCGTACACCTGCGATCCACCACGACGTCCACGATTTGTAAGAATCAAACGCCCTGCTTCTGAATGTAACTTTTTCTATTCGTAAAGCCCGAAGTTAGATTGATTAATTGATTGATTAGTATGTACTTGGCCGTCCGGGTGACGCCGCGTCCATGGCGAAGGTGCCGACGTTTCGGTCGCCATTCTGCGACCTTCCGTAATGCGGAGGGCGAGGGAGGGGGGCATAAGGATGAAGGTCCAGAATGGTGATTGAAACGGTCGGCACCTTCGGACGCGGCGTCACCCGGACAGCCAAGTAAATACTGACTCCGGCCGCGGAAGCCTACGCTCTCACTTGATTGATTAGTGATTCCGGTCACGCCAATGCTTTAAGTCATTGCTCCCGTACGAGTAGTACATGTTTTCATGCTTGAAGGATGGTGATCTTCCCCCGCTGTGTGGCTATATCCGGCGCAGGGATGATCGGCCATCATCCCCCTGCCGGATGCCGCCAGCTTGGAGATTTTCGCTAACAAGGTAAATCCCTCCAGCGGGGCGTCGCCCCAGCCTGAACAAGTTCTAAGCTCCCAACAAGTTTTTTTTTCATTACGTAGCAGCATATGGAAGGCATTCGGAGTGCGGTGATTCCGCGAATGTCTCTTGTCGGTTCGTTTCGTTCGCCAACGAGCGACTGTCAGCATCCCACCGCCAGCCGTATCACGCACCTGCACCAGCACCGTCTGCTGGTTGTCGGCGTAGGTGCTGAACACCTGCGCCTGCTTGGTGGGGATGGTGGTGTTGCGCGGGATGATGACGGACATGACGCCGCCGGCCGTCTCGATGCCCAGCGACAGCGGCGCCACGTCCAACAGCAGGATGTCCTTCACCTCCTCCGCCTTGTCGCCCATCAGGATGGCGCCTTGCACCGCGGCGCCGTAGGCCACCGCCTCGTCCGGGTTGATGGACTGGTTCAACTCCTTGCCGTTGAAGTACTCTTGCAGCAGGCGCTGCACCTACTCCGAACATTCCACGATTGAATGATTTATTTGTATTTCCGATCACTACAAACACTAATACCATTAGCCCCATAAGTTAAGTGCATGTCGCCTGAGGTGGCAGTTATCTTCCTCCGCTGGATGGGGAGTTTCGGCGCTGCGCTACATGTCGGCTTTCTGTTTTTTCTAGGTATTTCTCACCAGCGGGGCACCGTCCTATCCCGGACAAGCTCTAAGCTCCCGACCGGTCTCCTGACATGTGTGTTAATTATGTGAGTGTAAATGTATGAAAGAGGTGGGGATTGGACAAGGTAGAGGAATGAAAGATCGCGCGCGGTCCTTGGCCCGATTGTTAGGGTACTGCTCCGGCATTCGCGAACACTGCAAGACTGATGGATCTCAAGCTTTCGAGTAAACTGCAGCAACCGACGATTCAAGCCTATATATTGGTATATCTTTCATGTGCGGTGTGTCTCGGAGTGTGAAACGAGTTTTGACTTAATTTTTTTTAGTCAATTCACATCTACTAGTTTTTACACTTCTAAACCCAGCACACTTAGAAGAGATTCCAATGTATAGGATACAAAGGTTGAATCCTGAACTTAACAATGTATTGTAAACGGTGCATTGAATTTAATTCTCTGTTAAATGAAACAAGATCAACATAACGTATCCTTAAACATAAGACACAATGAGCCTCAGTAACATGGGTATCATTGTCTTGCTGAAGTGATCTGAAAATCAAATTCAGATGTGATTCGATTGCCGCAGCAGACAGTCGTGTCAAGAGTGATTTGGTAGTAAGTTCTTGACATTTTATTGTCATTTTTTAAAATAATTTATTTAAAATCGCATAAACTACAATGTTATTAGCGATTATAGAATATAAAACGCTTTACAGGACTTCAAGCATTAACTCTTTTTACAGGTATAGGAATATTACAAATATATATATGCTAATAGGGGTTCGAAAAGAATGAAAAACATATTTATAAACATAAACAAACAGTACAAAACCAAACTTAATAAAAGCAATTTAATCTAAATGTAATAATCAATGTAGATAATTTTAGTCAAATCAATAATTTTCCTTTTGTAGTCCTTAACTACTAGGATTTCTTCATGTCTGTCTTGTAATTTGTATCTCTTTCTGACGCTTTCGTAGGCATGTACTGGGCATAACATAAACACGTACGGCGTACATTTAGAACAACGTTTTCCATTTGTTTCCCTAAAAGAGCCCTAATGCGAGGGAGACGGCGTCAAATCACGCACCTTGGGGATGCGCGTGCAGCCGCCCACGAGCACGATGTCGTGGATGTCGCCCTTGCGGAACCCCGAGTCCTTGAGCGCCTTGTCCACGGGCTCCAGCGCGCTGCGGAACAGGTCCCCGTTCAGCTCCTCGAAGCGCGCGCGCGACAGCGACGTGTAGAAGTCGATGCCGTCGAACAGCGCGTCCACCTGGGCCGCAGGCACACGACACGTCGCGCGCATAACGTAAGAACACGCCCCGTTAAAAAAAATAATTTAATGAATGATTCGTGTTTCCGGGCGGGTCAACTATTATGGTCGTTAGTTCCAAAGGTATAGTGGATGCTTTTATCTCAGGAGGGATGGTGTTCTCACGCTGGATAGTGAGATCCGGCAAGATCGGACATACATGTCGGCTTGCTGGGGAATTCCCCGACCAGGTAACTCCAACCAGCGGGGCACCGCCCCACCCGAAACAAACTTTAAGCACCCGACTGGTCTCTCGACATATCTGATAGTGCAGTTGAAAGGACAAGGAAGAAAACTGAAAGGTAGCGCCTAGCCCATGGTCCTTTCATTAGGGTGCTGTTCCAGCATTGGCGTGGAAGTGGTCGAAAAGATCACGAACAGTACTGATCAGAGCAGCAAGCTATTAGAATTCTCCTCCCGTGAGGGTCTTCATACCACATAGCTAGGGCAAAAAATCCGGAACTCTAACGCTAGGAACTGCCGGTGACAGACGCAACAGTGGAAAATGTCATTGCCCTAAGCCATCTCAGCCGGTGCTCTAGTTTATTTGTTAGTGGAGAGGTTCTACGTCTCATCATTTCCGCAATGGGTGAAGAGCATCTGGCGGAAAGCTGGATCATATCCACTGTCCAAGCCCCTCCCCCGGACAAGGGTGTGCGGTCGCTTACCGACTTAGGTAGCTCAGGGCATCAATTGATGTCATTGCTGTGCTTTGAACGGGAGGACCTAGGCTGCAGAATTTTCTACTCTAGCTACAGAGCTAGGTCGAATTCAACTGGCCGGCTGCTCTGGAAGAGAATTCTATCAGCTGGCTGCTCTGATTGGTAGTTTTCCGTGGTTTATGAACACCAGACGAATGCTGGAGTAGTACCCCAACAAACGGGCTAGGAACCGTACGCGACCCCTTCTCTTCCATGTCCTAACCTCGTCCCTTTCTTACACAATTACATGCACTACAGTACCACATATGTCGGGAGACCAGCCGGGAGCTTATTTGTCGCGACTGGGGCTGTGTCTTGCTGATGGGAGATACCTGGTTGTGGAAAAACCTCGCAAGGCGCCGGATAAGTCGGCGCCGGATCTCGCCACTCAGTGGGGAAAGAGCACCTCCACGTCCCGCGATAAAACATGCGCTACTCTAACGAGACTAATCAGGGACCTCATCAGTTGACGCGTCCGTAAATCACGAATCCGTCAATCTCCTGCGCACGCCCCGCCGCTCGCGCGAGGGCGCACCTCGATGGAGGCCTGCGTGCTGGAGGAGAGCGTGCGCTTGGCTCGCTCGCACGCCGTGCGCAGGCGCCGCAGCGCGCGCTTGTTGTCCGAGATGTCCTTCTTGTGCTTGCGCTTGATCTCTTCCACGAAGTGCGTCACCATGCGGCTGTCGAAGTCCTGCCCGCCCAGGTGCGTGTCGCCCGACGTCGCCTTCACCTCGAAGATGCCACCGGCCACGCACAGGATGGACACATCGAAGGTGCCGCCGCCCAGGTCGAAGATGAGCACGTTGCGCTCCTTCTCGTCCTCCTGGAAACAAACTCTCCAGTAGCGGCGTACTCGTATGTATGGAAATATTAGAGGCCAGAAAAATGTTTAAAATATTTTACAATCAAAGGAATACAATACCACAAAATCTGGACATAAGTAACTCACTTTGTTCATTTCGTTAGTTTCTTGTGATTTTGTGTAGGTTTTAATTAAGTAAATTTCAAATAAATGTACGGCGTTTGTTTATCGGCAGCACTGAATCACACTCATGAGAGATGTGAGGTAAATGTTTCACAAGTAGGTGGTAACAAGAACTAATGTTCTATCTTACTTTTAGCATAAAATTAATAATACTTCACTTTTTAAGTTATTAAATAAATTATGAAATTACGGTACATTTTTTTGGGGGGTGTAAATAATAGTATGGTTCCATAATTATGGTACGCTCTTGCTACTATTCCGCAAAAGTTTTTTTTATTAATTTTTTTATACAAAAAGGTGGTATTACAAAAGGTATTGAACGTAACGAGACTTCCTTGCTGAAATTTTGGCCTGAAAAGGTAGGTCCGATTGAGACACTTCGCGGCGGCAGGGCCCTGACTCGCTGACGACGCGTGTCTTCCACTTTAAATAGATATCCATAACTGAAGAATATGTTCTTTAGAAAATAAGTGGTGTTTAATCAGATTATAACTCCAAATTCACATTCAGTTGCAACTCTATTTCACTCCATTACATTTTTAAATGAATTCAAAACTAACTTTACACTACTATTATTTGAATTTTGTTTTCTGAAGAAAGTAATTAAACATTTCCAATCTGTTTAAAAAAGCATTGGTGTCAAATAACCAGATCTGCATCTAAATGTGATTTTGGAGTCATGTTCTGGCTAAACACCACAGATGTATTATACTAGATTCTCTTATTTTTCCGAATGTATTTTCTTTAGTGGGTAGATGGGTGGTAGTGGGTAGGTGGGAGTCTACCTTATCTCCGCTCACAAGACGACACTCGCAGAGCAACTCGCAGAGGTACAATGAGTCATGTCTCAACTTACTTTTTTATGTAGTCCATAAGCAATTGCAGCGGCCGTTGGTTCATTGATAATACGGAGAACTTTAAGTCCACCGATCTGACCTGCGTCCTTAGTAGCTTGTCGCTGTGAATCGTTGAAGTACGCAGGCACGGTAATAACAGCGTTTGTCACTTCTGTTCCCAAATACGCTCTAGCAGTTTCCTTCATTTTTGCAAGAACCATAGAAGAAATTTCTTCGGGAAAGAAAGTCTTTGTTTCACCTTTGAATTGCACTTTAATCTTAATTTTATTCGCCTCGTTTATCACTTGAAATGGCCATAGTTTCATGTCCGAATGCACTACTGGATCATTCCATTGACGGCCAATTAATCGTTTGGCATCTGTGGCATTGATTGACTCAAGTTAATTCAAAGTTCAAAAAACAATGCTAACAATTTCATTGACACATGGAATATAATTAGTTATTTAAACGATAAACTAGTGGTGCTACAACAGATCATACTTGCTCTATTATTTGTAACTTACTTAATATTCTAATAGTAGTTGAACCCGCAAAGTATTTTTTTGTATTCCAGCATTATAAAAGAACTTTTTCTGTTGCAAGAAATCGTTCATAATCGGGCATTTTATGCCACAAATGATGACGTATTAGATTTTATGTCAAATATGTAATGATTGCATCATCACATATTCAGCCAATCGTAGCGAGAGAATCGGGGGAGGTAGAGCTAAACGGAACAGCCGACCACCATTTACTCGCATGATGTCAAATACCCAAGTCGTCACAGGGAAGTTATTTCGCAAAATTAAGTTTGATTCTCTTATAAATGTATAATGCTGTTATACAAAAAAATATAGTATGCAACTTATTTATAATGTTGCTTTATTACATTATAAACTAATTGCATAAACTATTTTTCAACCCGCAAATATATTTAGCAGGGATGGAGCGCTAGTACTTATGGCCCGCAGATGGCCTTTTAACCCACTGTCCTAACGTCACTGACACAAAACCCAAAATACTGGTATAAATGATACACTTCGTATCAATTCTATTTCTTCAGCGTTACTTCAGCATCAACACTTCAGCGTTGAGTGTCAGATGACAAGTAGCACACTTATTAACGTCGCCACAGAGCACTCATAAAAGTGTCATCCTGAATAATATTATTAATTCGCAAAAACAATGCATTTCCAAAACATATCATAAAGCATTACAAGTATCATCTAACTTTCTCAGATAATTACGGAATAATGGTGTACCCAAGCCCGCGAAATACCTTTTTTTTTACAGAACTTTTCTAGCATATGCGTAAATACAATTTTGTGTGCTAAATTAACCTCTTTTTTTGTAATCTGTTTCATTTTTTTAATTGTAGACTGAAATTTCTAATTGTAAAGAAATTTCTTGTTTTTGAAAATGCTTGTAATGTATGGTAAATCTCTGAAATTATGTAAGGCGAAACCAAATTTACCAATTATAAACTCCAAATATTTACAGTAAATTGTAAAAAATTTGAATATTTCAAGTGAAATAACATATTCACAATTGTTACTGAAAAATGAAATTTCACATTTGTGGAAACAAATAAACATTCAAAAGGGATATATTCAGGGGTAGTCAACAGATCTTCCTGTCCCTTATTCCTGAACAATCATACTCTGATTACTAACTACAGGAAGTGGATCAAGATCGTTATGCTCAATGTTTTTGCCTCACTTGACTTCCTTCTCTTCAGACTAAAATACAGAGAATGTTTACAGAACATGAATGAAATGAAACATCAATGAAAACATCAAATTTTGCTCACCAAATACCGTATTCGAGGGATTCATTGCCATTTGATGCATTGCAGCTTCTCCTACAAGGCGTTCCTCTTCAGTAAATGCAACAATGCTGGGTGTTGTTCTACTGCCTTGATCATTTGCAATTATTTCAACCTTGCCGTTTTGGAAAACTCCCACACAGGAATACGTTGTGCCAAGATCTATGCCCACGGCCGGTACCTTAGAAGCCTGAGACGTTCTGCGCGACATTTTTGCACTCACATGATGGAATGTGCTGGTTGACGTATTTCTTCCGATATGTTAGAAGAAATTTTGAAATAAGGTAAAATATGTGTGACATCTGCGAAATTAGTCACGGATCCCGCCGACATTTTGCTACAAACTACTGTAATATCCGATTAAATATTCTACTGTTTCAACAATGTAGGGCATGTTTTCTTTCCTGACCATTTTTCTGGCCACCTTCAAATAGGACACAAAACACAACTTAAGAAAAATGTCACTGTCGCATAGTTATATGTACTCACAAGCCACACGGGGAATTTTCGTTTCGTTTTGTGTTGGCAAATGTTGTTGCCAACAATCCCAGTATTACCCACTACATATTGTCATACTTGCGAAAAGTGACACCCATTGCTTATAAAACATTCAACTGTCTTTGCCACACATACAAACATTCATGTAATCAACGTTTTTCGTTATTCTATAATAACCTAGATTTCGAATGACTGTGTATATCTTTCCGAAATGTTCTTTATTTATTTACTCTTCACAGGTCTGCTAACAGCACAGTTCCCTGTATATTTCAAAATAAATAACTCTTTACACTTCCATCCATGCATCTTAGACTGTTTGTCTCTTTATTAAATATGTCAGTTTTAGTTAGTTTGGTGTATTTTTTTTTTAAATAATCATTGGGTGTTCAAATGAACCATAACAATAGAGCTATCAAGACATGCAAAAAAGGTCATGCAAAAGTACATTTGTGTACGTCACTCGTCAGTCATACTTAGTCATACTAAAAATGTATGATATCATGGTAATTACCGTTTCATAAGGTACTAACGTAATAAAATAATTGGAACTACATTGTGGACGACCATTCCTGCTTTCAAACTGTTATAAATTTTATTTGCAATTGCATCCTTAGAGAATTGGTATTAGTTACAGAGATTTAGTCCTTTTACAATTTGCTTTGGGCGAAATGAGTCATTGTATTTCCTTGCATCTAATGACGAGACACTCAACTGTAAATACTCACTTTCCCTATAAACATACAAGAATTTAATAGTAATATTCATTTCTATTTCATGTTAAAGATCATTAGAAACGCCGTATCTCTATTTAATTATGAAAAATTATTTCTTAATATGTTAAAATGTAGAACTGGAAATAATGGTTTTCCACCCAAGCATTTTGTCACATACGTGAGTCCCTTCATATACTAATTAATTCCATATCCCACAATACAGCAAATGTACCTAATCGTTTTGAAGCAAACTTTGAATTCGTGTTATTCTAATATATACCGTGTGACTCTATATATACCGGCACTGGTCAATATTTCCTAATTTTAAAACCTCTCAATGTAAGAAAATGAAACTAATAGTAAGATAATTTCATAAAATAAAATAAAAATTATTTAAGTAATAGAATATTAAACTCAAAAGATTAAATGTACATGATTAATTAATTAACTACATAACTGATATAAACAATGTGAAAATAACAAATAACAATAAAAAAGAGATCTTATACGAAATAAGTACGAATCTTATACGAAAAAAGCAAAATATATATGATATGCACATATATTAACTTTAATAGTTACTAAAAAAGTTAATATACATAGTTATTAACTTTTTCCTAAGTATTGACTTCTATTTTTTTCGATACAGCCTAATATATATTTTAATGCCAGAACAATAGCGGCACCAATAAAACCGTTTTAAAATGGGTTTAGGGAGATGTCACAAACCTCATAAACACTCCATTTTTGACCATTTTCGCTACTTTTTTAGAAAATTACGAATAAATATTGTTTAAAGTAATTTTTACCAACAAATTTGTAGCTGACGTGGTCCCCACGTTACTGTGCAACACTTTTATGACCATCAAATATTACTTGATTGGAACAGTTCCGTAAATTTGTATTCAAAATACTTTTAATTTGGATAGGATCATATGAGATGAGACGATATAAATTTTAGGGCATAAAAAACCGCTCCCGAATGATAAACATAGCTAAAGACACACATACACACACACGCACACACACTCTCTCTCTTCTCTCTCTCTCTCTCTCCCTCCCCCTCTCTCTTTCTCTCTCTCTCACTCTCTCTCGTGTGGATTCCAAAAGTCCTTTCTCAATCTGATAATAGGAACACGTTACAAATCCGCTCTTCTTCATCTTTTCTTCTTCTTCTTCTTCTATTCTTCTTATTATTATTATCGCTGGTATATTGTATATTAATTTAGTTAAACGGAAAATTTCCGGTTAAAATGAGCTAAATATTCTGCATTTCCAGAAAAGCTTAAATATTTTCTCAAAAATGACTCAAAATTTGGTTACAGAACTCAATAATATTCTTCAATAATATTCTTAAATTCATATTTCAATACTTCTATTAGACGGCCGAAAAAATTGAGAAAAAGTGAAAAAATGTCTTTTAGGTGTCAATAGATGGCTGCTGCTGCAGGAAGGTGGGGTAAAAACGAAAAACTCATCCAGACACAATAGACTAGGAAACTAATTAGTAGAAAAGTATATGCCTTTCTGTAGTCTTACTAGTAATTACTTTGTTTTGACATATCCGCATCTATCGATGACCAGATGCATCGCTTCTGAAAACTAAATCCGATTGTCACCGGCCGGACACTTTGTATCCTTTTCCCATTTCCTTTCGTAGGCATTTTTATGACATTCTTTGCTGACATTCAACTTTAACTGTATCAAATACGAATAATTAAAATCCTGTTTTAAAAAACGTTATTAATTTTTTGCAAGCCAGAGCAGCAGCAACTTTGACAAAGCTCCTTTTACTAATTTTGTTTCATTAACTACGGGAGGTAGGAGCATAAGGCAAATTTAATGATAATTATGAGAACTATTTTCATTTCCGCAACGAAAATACAGGCTAATTCTTAGGCTGAAGGCGGCTCCACACATTCGTTATTCGGCGTGTAGCAAGTATCCGCTTGCTCCATCCCAAGAAGTGTGGATGAGTTGCTTGCTATTTATCGGTCGAGTGACGAACATTCGGTGTTCGTCCTGCCCACCACGTGCCGGTCGTTAGGACACAAAGGAAGCGAACATTCGCTGAACACATCAGCTGTACACGTAGGCTTCCGCGGCTCGAGTCCATTACTTCCAGGCTGTCCGGGTGACGCCGCGTCGTTGGCAGATAGGCCGACGTTTCGCTTGTCATGTCGCAGGCTAGTCACTACCCTGAAGAAGCCTGCGACATGACAGGCGAAACGTCGGCCTATCTGCCAACGACGCGGCGTCACCCGGACAGCCTAGAAGTAATCAACACATCAGCTGTTCGGGATTGAGCAAGCAATAGCTCGCCGGAGAATGCCCAATATGTGGAGCTGCCTTGAGGTCCGGCAAGCTTACGAATGAGAGTGAATCTGAGCTGATTAATGCCGAATGATTTTCAATCGAGCAAGACGAATTAAAGTCTTCACACATTGGGCATCCGCCGAGTAACAAGCTACTGCTTGCCCAATCCCGAGCACTTGATGTTATGGGACAAAGTTCGCTACCTTAAAGTTAGAGCGAGTACTGACTGTTCGTCGCTCGGCAAATAGTAAGCAATCCATCCAAACTATTCGAAATTCGGCGGGAAAACGTTAGCTACTCTTCGAATATCGATTGTGTGAGTCGCGAGAATCTTTTAGCCGGCTCTCAGCCAGAAACTCTCCAATAGATGCTACCAGAGCTCTCTTTCCGAGACTACTTAAACTACAACGTCAATGGCGCGATATTCGAATACAATTTCTGATATTACTCAAACGTTACATTACTCTGATATCACAGCAAAACATTGCCGATTCTACAGAGAATATATTAATATCAACTTCATTGATGCTGTTGTTACTATTTCTTACCATACTTGGTGATAAAGTAATAAGAAGAAATGAAAATGTATATCATCGTTACTGTTAGAGGTATTTTCAGACAAGTTGTATTTCATGATACAAAAAAATCTAGTTTTAGAAAATTTGAATTTTATGACGGGATTAGGTTTGTCTGAACAAGTTGGTATAACACACAAGAGGACACAAAAATAAGAGGACTCAATTCTTTCAATTCATTTTACTTCAAGTATTGAATCACATCCATGAAACTTATACATATGAAATAACCGATTTCAATGACATGGTAGTCATCTCTATATTCACATTTCAATCACATCAAAAATACTCCTGATAAGTATAGTACACTGTAACAGTGGTTTCCAGAATATTCAGTATGCTAATGTTCCTTTATCAAAAATATTTTGCTTAAAATTGCTTATAAATATAAAACATTGTCAGAGAGATTTCCTTTTGTACATTAGCTTTAAATTTCCACAGAAACTTACAAAAATACAAAAGATGAACGACGATCTTCTGCAACATTTTGACAATAAAATAACTGGAATCCACTGTTTAATAAAACTGTGATTTAACACTAATTTTCACGGAGCTCAAGATTCACGGAAGCAAGCATAAAGCTCAAAACAACAGCTGCATTTGTATTGTGATTTTAAACTGCAGAAGTGCTGTACAAAAAATTAAGACAATGATACATTGTTTTTAATGATTCTCACAATATAGAGATACAAAATGAATATTTCTTTATCTAAAACAATTTTCTTTGTATTTACAATAACATTTTCTACAAACCATGAAATACTATGACACAAAACCCATAAGAAAAAACATTGTATCTTGAAATACTGTCCACTTTATTACCATATAAATCATTTATTGTTCTTTATATATTCATTCAGGCCTTACTACACTAAATGTTTTGGAAAACCAATGTATTTGTATTCACAAATTATCTTTCTCCAACAGAAATTTATAAAATGTTATTTAAACCTTCCACAAATTAACTACACAAGTAATGATATGAAAAGAAATTCACATACTAACCATTAATTTAAAAATGAAAGATTTTCATGAAAAATATTTTCAATTATCATTCTGCAGGTATTCATAAAACTTATCAGCAAGACATGAAACAACATTATCTGAAACCAAATATTAAGTCACTCTCACATGTAAAACATGATTTCATGATAAATACTGATTGATTGAAACATAATGTTGGATGCTTAAAAGACAGCATATAAACGAATGCATTGTTTTCAACCCAGTAAAAATGTATTATTCACTGTTTGAAAATGTCTAAAACAAATACCTAAATCACATCAATCTTATGATTAAATCTCGTTGAAATCACTGCATGGATGGGAGAGAAGAAACTCAAAGATCAGAATACTGAAAACAATATATCCGATTGGTACTTGAAATATAAAATATGAAGTAATTTTCTTCTTAAAATTTATTAGGTTTATCTTACAACAGAAATTGTGTTTGCAGAGAAAATTACTTAGAAATGTATTTGCCTAATAAAACACCTTAGATAACATAAATATTGTGTTTTTATAAGAATACTATTCAGCATAATTCAGTGTCAATAAATATACTCCATGATTTTGTAAAAGTGCTTCCAAAAATGCATTCTATGCTAACAGACACACTAAGATGTTCAAAACTTTGTTCTTGACTTCCACTATTAAATAAAGTTGAACAAAACAACATAATCATTGATATTCATTATTTAAAATATAAGAAAATGGATGACTCCATATTGGAGTAAAACTAATTAAATCCCTCTTACTGAATCCCAACACAAAATGGTATAAAACGTTATGCACTAAAGTATTGCAGTTACCCATGTGTTTGAGCCAGGTGGCTTTTATAAAAGACATACAACAAATACTGACACAGTATTCAATTTTGTACTTTGAATTTTTCTGTGATGCTATTGAATGAGTGATTTGATAATGTCCAAGTAAAATTATATTACAGTTGAATATTAAACACAATGTCGACCTTACAACTACATCATAACACTGATGTAAAAATAAAACGAAGTGATTTCACAGATATGTCCTCTTAATGTCACACACACAAATTTGCATTTGGCAGGCTGTATAGCTGTTTGTAAATTGTACATATATACACTACCAAAATTTAAACTATGTTATTGTTGTATCAGATAAAATTTGAAGCTCTTGTCTTTCTTCTTCATCACTTACACACATTCTAGTTAAATCCGATGCAACAGATCCTTCTGCTGTCTCACATACACTACAGTCACTTCCTCGTTCACTGCACATTTGGTCTGCTTCTGTCTTTGGTGGAAAATCAACTGGAACGCTATAATTATAATAGTACTTTTTAATGAAAGAGGATTACAACTGTTTTAATCTCTAATTTACTAATAATATATTAAATTGTACTTTTCCTAATTCTTTGGAATGAGTGTTTTTAACAAAAAATTAATTTCAAATATAATTAAAGCTTTATCACATGCTGACAGATGCTTCTAAGAAACAATAATAAATAATCCATGCAAAACTGTAAATCAATTAACACAAGGGGAAAGATATATGAACAAGACAAGCAACCCTAGATTGTAAAGAATGACAATAAAGACAGTATCACATACATGCTACAAAACTGCAAAAGTATTTACTACATTTTAATACAAGTTGAATTTAAGATAATTTAATTTTGATTAAAAATTGTCATGATGATAGGTAAGTGATGATTCAGAGAGAGAAAAAACTATATATATAATTATTAACAAGTGATTATGGTCTTATTTTCAAATTTCTATCCACAGCTTTGCATATATTTTAATTTCTCATAATAAAAATGCAAGACATGCATTTACATTACACAGCTAATAACTGTGAGAAATATATACTCCTTGCTAATGATGATTATTATAATATTTTTATTATCATCAGTGTGATTAATAACACTGTCTTAATTGCAGGTAATGAAGTCATCATCATTATCTAAATTTATAACATCATTATTTTGAACACCAATGGTACTATGAACTCAGAAAAAGAAGGGGAAAAATTCTTGTGAGTTGTTAATTTCTAACTTTATTTTTAAATTCAGGTGATGGTCTGGACTAACTATTTGTAATAAAAAGCTTTATGTTATTTCCCTGAAGAAAAATATAAAAAATAAACCAACTGTTGAAATAAATAATGTTCACATATGTTACAAAAACATTAAGTTATTAATAATTAAATAAAATAGAAAAAGTACGTAATTTCACAAAAATTTAGGCTCAGATAATTTTAATGAACCTGGTCACTAGTTTTAAACCCATGTATTAAGTGAAAAATGATATAATATAAAGAATCACCATGTTGATCAACTTCGCTAAAAAATGAGTAAGCAAGTACTGAGAATATAGTATAAAAAATGCTACATTGAAATTTCAATTCAGTTATAATCATGAACAACATCATTTTCAAAAACATTTAACAATCATGCAAAATTACGTTCAGAAGAAACACAGAAATGAAACAGAAAGATTGGATAATAATTACTTAATGTACATTCTCGGGTATCCTTGTGTATTTCGTTTGTCTTTTGTCAAACGCATAGTGGAAACATGAAAAATTATTTCCACCATGGTCAAACCAAGAAGACTGAAATAATCACGTTGAATATAACACAAAGAATACATTCATTTTTACATGTGAAGTAAACATAACTTGGAAATGAAAGTGAGAATTGAAAAATCTATGAAATGAACTTCAGCAAAAATTTGTTGTCAGGAACTTGAAAACATGATTCCCAAAGCTATGAAATATACAGCTAACTAGAAAAAATATTCATTATTAAATTTTAGGAAAGATTCTATAGATAAAGAAGTAGAGCCAATTACATGTTGCATTTAAAAGCATCATTAAACACATAGAAAACATGAGATAAATTTTTGAAATCCAATAAATAAGTTATTAATTTTTTAACTAAATAAATATAGTTGTTATCTGTTTTATCATTTAACTTCAAAATTATTTTAACTAATACCTCTACAATAAGAAGCAATGTATTAAGCCTAAAGTGTGCCAAACAATCATGAATGTTTTTACATACTAGTAAAAAACTAATAACACAATGTAAGTGAAAGTAAGTCTTCAATTTAATAAAATTTACATGTGTTACAATTATTCTGGTGAACCGTTGGGTGACTTAAATGAGTAATGTTAAAAGAAGTTACTGAATGTACTTCTAATAACCATAAACAATATTCACCTTTGACTTGGAGGAGTAATAGGTCGCTGTGGCAATGACGAAGCAGAAACTTTTGATTGCATCACTATCTGCAACCAGTTGGAGGTACTATTTGGTCTAGATGAGAAAAGTAAACATTCAGAGAACAATTACAAACCAAAACATGCATTTACCATGCTACATCAATATCATGCCAGCCTTCACATTTCACAAAAAACTTTTCCTATTTGAACAATAGTTGAACCACCGCCAAGAGCAAAATTGTACTTTTTTCTACAATCCTGTCTTACACCTTTTCCTGAATCTTAAAGTAAATACATAATAAAAATAACATTTATTATATATACAATTACAACAAGAATAATAAGTAGTCTTAACAGAATAATGCAAAACACAGACTCACAATGGAGTGGACCTTATCACAGGTGAGGAGTGTGTAATCTGCTGAACAGCAAACTGATTGCCATTAACATGGCAAGATAATACTGGAGAGGAGTCATTATTTGCCATGAAATTCTTCTTTACAAGTTTTTCATCAAATTTAAGAGATGCTGAAAGAAAATTAATAATTTTAATTATATTACAACTATATATAATTTAAAATTCAAAACAGTAACACATTTAATTCATTAAACACATTTCTTTTTAATATTACCTCTACTGATGGGACCCAGCTTCTGTGCTATGTTGAATAAAACATCTGGTGTCCAGAAATTTGGAATACGAACATAAACTTTTCCAGAATCTGCAGGCAAATGGAAACCCAATTTGTGCAAAAGTAACATGAACGGTTGATATAGCAGGCTTTTCTTTTGATCAGAATTCCATGGAACCACAGGAATAGACTGATTCATCACTGAAACAGAAAATTCTATCAAATATCTTCCTTCAAAATGATATAAGTTTTATTGATACATTACAATACTGTAATATCCAACTGTGCTAAAACAGAACAATGGTATCAAAAACAAAATGGAAGTCATATGGGTTCATGCCCATTTGTATATACTTCACATACACATTAATGCAATGCACATGCGATAGGAGAGAGTAACTATGATTGACAGCAAAACTCTCCAAGATGGTTCTTCTGATTATAATGATCTTTTAGACAAAGGAAGACCTTGGCTAAACTTAGGATCATATAATTTTGAATGTTAGCTATCAAAATGCAAGGATAATATTGAAGATACACAAAGCAATGGAAGTCTGCATGTTCTCCACACAGTTTCCAAAACATCAGTCATTCCTATATTAATTTTGGAAAGTTAGTGGGCTTCACTACTTCACGACTTATGAATTTTTAAAATTATTGAGGCTTAAGATAGATCAAAGCCTCAAGAAGATGGTAAACAGTTCTTGAGAAAAAACTGCTAAAGAAAAACTGTATTTACAAAACATATAACATTAGACAATAAAATCATCAGCATATATGTTAACAACATATTGGACCATGCAATACAGGCACCTATATTGATTACCAACATTATTATTAGATTTAAATATTCAAGACTTACAGGTGTAATGATGAGGTACAGGTTCCATTGTGATCAATTTCTTTGGTGGTGAAAGCAATTTATCCATGTTCAGCTTCACATAACAAGCCTCAATTAAAAATTTTTGTAGCCACATCAGAACTTTCCCTTTTTTTTCTCTTAGCATTTGATCTAGAAACAAAAGAACTGCAATGTAATATATAGAAGTACACTGGTGACAAAATTATAGAATGCTGTAAAAATCTTCCTAGTCATAAAATAAAGTCCTTAACTAAACAAAAGTACTTAAGAACCCCAGAATTAATGGTTAATATGCCAAACCTAAACAGACAATTTAATTAATCTCACATCACTTTAATTTCGCTTTGTTTTATTTATTTCCCTTTCAACATACTGGTCCTCTGATCAACAGTCTTCATAATGTGTAATAAATAAAGTGAATTGAAATTAAAACAATATGTGATTAATAAAATTCTGTGTTTTATTTGTTTTTTTAATAATGAATTAATTAATTATATTATTTCGCAATCTATTTAGACAAAAAAGTGGTTTCCAAGGCAAATTTCAAAGTAATACTGACCTCGCAGCACAGCAACATGATCAATACTTCTGTTAGAAATGTCAACTTCATGTAAACCATTTTCTCTATTTATAACAGTTGTTAGAACCGCATTAGATATTTTAGTATCACCAAAAATAAGGGTTGCTTCATTCTGACTCTCAATAGGATTCTATAATTAAAAAAAGGATGTAAAATCAAAAACTGAGACACTAGCTTATAACATAAATAATCAGTCTTTTAAGTTAAATATAGTTCTGAGAAGTAATATCTCACCATCATCTCCTTTTTTGTCATTTCTTCATACTGATCTCTGTTTACAATATTTTGAGAAAACAGCTGATGAATTATCTGAAAAACATATCCATGTATACAACATATCGAGAATACAATAACCAACTTATTAGGAAAATTTTTTGCAAATGGAAATTAAAATACATAAATTCCAAAGCCAATTTTACAATATTAATTGTTCTCTCTGGTTTTAACTTACATTAATTTTAAATATTTTAAAAAAATCATGAAACTAAATTTGTATTAACTACAAAAGCAATGGAGAGTGAAAATTAAACAGCATTCATATGTAGAAATAATTTCATTTCGTATATTTCTACCAAAGTATCCTCATCAGTTTATCATTATTATGAGTAGTGGGGCAAAACAAGAAAAATGCAAGTGCAAAAATATTAACACAAAATTAGGAAATAGAAGTGAATAGCTGTCCAAGGAAAGAATGTTAGCTTTTGTCATAAGCATAACATAACTTTTTCTTAATTTCATGCTTACTCCAATCCTGGTTTTGTTTGTTATTCCATTTTCCAGATAAAGATCTCTGACTCTTCCAACTGGATCAGGAACTTTAGCACTTTGGGCATAAAACCAATGAAGATTTTCTAACTCTTCTTTTGACCACCTATTTTAAGGGAATAAAACATTTGAATAAATAAAAATCATTTAATGAAATAAAAAACAAAAAAATTGATCATTTATATACATAAATTTCACCAACCTCTAACTAATCACTTAATAATGACAAAGAGGTACAAACCTGAGCGAATTCGAATCTGATAAACAAGGCACTGGTTCTAATGCATCACACAGCATTGGAGAGAACTGAAGAGGTTGGGCAGCAGCATATTGCAGTGGCTTGTCAATGAATTTATGAATAACATACTCAATGAGATCGGACCAATCCTTTGAAAGTGAATCATAATTTTTTTTATACTTATATATAATTGAAAAATTCTCATAACACAATGAATAAACATTACACTTACATCACAGACTTCATAATCTGTTTCCCAGATTTTTGAGAAAGTTTTTAGAATGTTGGGTTGAAATAAAGAGGCCACTTGTTCTAAATCTCCTCCAATATGGTGCATCATTGTGAACACACAATCATTTGTGAATTCTCCATTGTTTTGAAAATCTTCTAACAATAGACCATATTGATGCATTACTTCAACTGATGCAAATCTATACAAATAACAATTCGTCAAAATCACAGTTTTGCATTTCTAGATGAATATTTTTCATATCTTCACAATACTGGCAATCAATGTAACAGTAGTAAAAACTAGGGAATGGATTTTCAAGTAATTACATAGTTTTACACAAAGAAGATTTTTGCATTCAATAATACTTTTCAAAGTTTTCAAGACATTCTGAATGAATGAGAACCATTTTATTTGACATATTTTACCTATTACTACACATTTCTTATATATTTTGTAACATTGTAATTTCCTTATATGTCGAATTGGAACAATTCATATGCATGGAATCATCTTTCTTAAAGCTGTAACAAATGTTAAAAGCTACTACAAATTATACTGTGGCTCTATGCCCACCTTATCATTGCCATGAATTGTTAAACTTATCCCCTCAGTGCATTTTTGAAAAATGCATACTCAAGAGTTAAGAATGGGATGATATTTGTGAAGCAGAAGTAATTTCTAGCATGTGCTAGTTCATGTTTCAAACAGCACATTCGTATCTCAATTGAAAATGAACAATATTTTTTTAAAGATCAATGTTTTTTCGCATTGTTGAATTGGGAAGATCTTTGCTTTAACCTTCCTCACTTCTGGGATAAATCACTGACTACATTGGTACTACTATTCACTTGAGTACCAGCTCCTCATAAACAACATTGTATATACTAGAAAACAATTTTATTTTTTCAACAAAACTCTTTTATTTGTTTTGAATTACTTCTGGTGAGGAGGTGTTAAGATCTGATCTGCGATGTTCTGTGCTTGGAAAATGCTTTTATGGAGCAATTTAAATATGTAATTTTTTTTTACATATTTTGTATTTCTTACCTATTTTGAAAAAAATAAATATATATACAGTCAAACTTGCCCAATGTGGCGTGTGTAGAATGTGAATAAATCACGGTCCTGTTAAACCTAAATTTTACAGAATTACTTTGTAAAATGCGGAATCTTGTCTCGTACGGAAAAAAAATAATACCGATCCCTCGATATTCCACATGGAGCAAGTTTTACTGTATATGTACAAATTTTGTTTCTTTTATTGCAACAAATTCCATTCATGGGAAATAACTAACATCCAAAAACAGAATGTAAACAGCTGTTTCTCAAAAATTTTCATTTTATTATGAATATCTTTATTTTTTAATTACTTCAATAAGGAAATATAAGCAAATTTCATATCACTGATTCAAAGTAAATTTTATTTCAATTCTATTGCAATGTAATTAGTATCCCAAAATGCCTCATTGATTTACTTGGCAATGACTGCTTAAATGAATGAAAGATATGTTTGTTTTAGCAATAATAGACAATATTTAGATATTTAATTAATTTTTGTTTGTTTTCATTGACGTAATAAATAAAATAAAGCAAAATGTGTAAAAATAAATAGAAAAAATTAGACATGAGGTTTCTAGTTTTGTCTTGGGCATTAAACTTTATCACTTCTAAATAACATAATTTACTATTACTATAACTTACTGTTTGATATGTTCCATAATATCAATATTTCCTCTGTATCCAGGTAATTTTCCAACATTTTCTAACAGCAGCAGAAGCATATGATTAGTAATAATAAGATCTTTAAGATACTGTCTGCTTTGAAGATTGGGATTGAATTGATGTAACAGTAGAACAAACAAACATTTTAAATCATCCGTTGACCCTATTTGCACTGTAAAAGATACATCAAAAATAACTACCCAAATACAAGTAAATAAAAAAACAAACACTATAGAAAACAATGACTCACATTGAAGTTGCACAAGATACTCTCTATCTTCTTTACTAAGATGTGAAATTTTCCGATATGTTTCAACTGCTTGAATAAATTCCCTTATAGCAGTCACAACCTACAAAATAATATTATAAATTCTAAGAGTCTTCCAAAATGTCAAAATAAAATTACGTATATATTGTAGATAAAACATTAAGAAGGGATTAAACATCTAGTAATATCCTCAGCAAAATTTGACAGAACAAAATTTGCAGACACCTTTCGAAGTTACACCGATCAATTTCCTTTAAGGCACTAGACAATTTTTTATTTGCAGAACTTTAATCTGGTTTAAGTCCTACTATGGGTATGGGTGTATTTGTGTATGTCTACATATGTGTGCCGTCCTTTCATCCCACACCTTCATCATCATCATCATCATCATCATCATCATCATCATCACCACATCGTCCATACTCCCAGGGCGCAGAAACTTTGTGGATAATAATCAGGATTCAGCTAAAATGCTGATCCCCCCAGAAAGGTTGTGTATGAAAACAAGGTTGTGTTGTGTATGAAAATCATATCTTATTTCTAAACCATACTTGCAGAATCACGAATTTTTATCCAAAATTAAAATAACAATTGTAAATATTAAATTAGATTAAAAATATTGAAAAAGTAAATTTGTAAACTTACCAAATGCATTCGTCGTAAAAAAGGTTTGAGATCACTTCCAGGATGACGAGTAGCTACTTCTAACTGTTCACAAAGATTCACACCCTCATATGTTAAGTATGAAATAATTTCAAATGAAAGAACTGGACTATAAACAGACAAAAGAGAAGAAAGGCATTAAAAAGTTTTCATATCACTTACGTTATACTAGATCGTATTTATATATACTTCGTTTATACCTTATGTGCTCCAGCTCCAATTCCAGTTGTGTTGCAAATTTTAAAAAGTATGTAACAAGCCAGAAAAAATGAGAGGTATCTACTTGTATGATTTGCTTTGGATTAAGGAGCTGAGAATGAAGTTCTTGAACTAAACAACCATAACCTTTCAGCAAAAAATCTACAGTAAACTCTTTAAGTAAATTGGATATATCTTCATCTGAAGGTACATGATGCAATAACGCCTTCATGTTCATTCTGAAAAGAAAGATTAAATGCACATTAATTTCAACAAAGTCACATGATAACTAGAACTTTAGTTCCTCAATGCATAAAACTCACATGTTGGTACGACTCCTTTTAACAAGTTTCTTGCGTCGCAATTCTTTTTTGTCCTGAACAACGTCTTTTTGATTTGTGTTTATTTTATTTATTGCTCGCATTTTCTGAGATGAGTGAGGTTTTTGATGAACTGGCCTAGAAAATAAATAATCACAAACACATCAGAACTGAATAGATATTTGTTAAAAATGGTCATCAACAATAAACAAAGAATGAGGGAAGCTAATCTGAATGGAAAAAAATATATTTATAAATAATTTTATTTATTTATATTTTACTTTTTTATTTTTCTATTTCTTTCTTTTTTTCATGTAGCTGATGAATTTGCTCAGTAGAATTTGACTCTTACCTATACACATATCAGTTTTCCATAAAATATTATAGAATATGTAATTGCTATTGATGTAATGTGTGTTGATGTAATAGAATTATCTTCATCTTCATTATCACCATTATCATCAACTAGGCAATCATCTGTACCTGTTTCCCAGTAGATCAGGTGGCTTTTTAGTCATCCACATGTTCCTGAAATAACCACTTTTTTGCTCGCCATTCCACATTTCTTTGCCCTATAGGTTTATAATGCTGTCTTTGGAAATCTTTCATACCTGATTATGTCAAAATTCCAATTATGAGAAAATAATTTCCTCTGGTCTTCCTTTACCTCTTTAACTACATTTTTTGCTCTTAGTCTTTTTCTAATATTCTCTTTCCCAATCCTGTAAAATGTTATAGAAATCTCATTTCCTTTTGCCACCAATTTTTGCTGATTCTTACTTTATATAGTCCAAACTTCTTATCCATTCACAAGTTGGTTTTGAATTCATATTAGGCATTTTTAATTTGGACTGTTGAGTCTCTAAAATTTCTGAATTTTGTCCTCTATTATCTCCGATGACTGTAGAATGATATTACACAAATAAATAAACATGGAAACTTTTTCTAGTATTTGCGTGTTAATGACAATTTTGATTCTTTTCATTTCTTTTCCTCAATAAGCCATTGAGTTCGTTTCATTTGTGGAAATTTTCACATCATGTTTCAGTGGTGATTTATATAATTAATTGTCGTAATTTATAGCTTGTCTTCTGATTCCATTACTCCAATTTACGTGGTAACATTGTCAGGGTTGATTTCTAGCAGCTAAGAATGGTTTTAGACGAAGATTTGATGTAATGAGTACACCCTTGTCAGGAGTATACAATGCCTTAACGGCTAAATCGACATCTGGTGTACAGGAATGAAAAAATTGGCTTAAATACGTTTCATTTAGGATATCTTCATCTACTGAAGAAATAAAATTCACAAAATATTGCAAAAGAAGCAAATTTGAGTTGATTAGAAATGTGGGTCCTCAAACGAGGACGCTAGTCTTTAATGGGTCAACAACGATCTTTAATGAATTAGTTGGACAGTACAATTTGAAAAGACTAAAATAGTATTGTATCTTAGTTTCTGTCAATTCATGTTTCTCAGTCATGTTTCTTCATCCTCTCTATCATGTTTCTCCTCGAGTTTCTCTGATCATTTGAGCTAATGCTGAGATGTCTCACTCTTTGCTTGTGAACAGAAATGTAACTTCACCATCTGTGCACGTTTTCTAGATTTCAATGAGTGATTTAGTATTATTAAAATTAATGTTTTCCGTGTTCTCACGCCAATACGTCGATTCCTTCATAAAAGGCCAATAACCCTCGATTATTCCCTGTATTCATAATTCAACTCGCAAGTGGGTTGGAGTAGAGATGCCTGAATTTCAGGAAAATGCTCAGGATGACCACGCCACCTATCCCCCTCTGCGCACGAATAAAAAGGACGCTATTCGTCATCAAAAAGAACTGGAATCGCTGCGACTGGTTATACCACGAGTGGGCGTCAGGTGCTCAATTCGGAGCGCTAATATTGGCGATTCCTATCTCCTCAACGTTTTATAACTATTTTGTAACTCATGTTGTTTAAATATAGTAATATCGATTAATTATTCGAGTTTCTAAAATATTTAAAACGCAATATTTTGATTACTTTGCATGAGCATAGCCGCGGCTATCGATGACCAGACGCCTAGCCACAGTTGGGTAGACTAACACGGGGGGAAAATGTTAGTTTTATTATCTTACGTCATCTGTATAAAGGATTATTTGAATTTTCTGTCTTTTACTCGAATTTATTCATCTCGATATTGCTTTATTCCATTACTTCACAATACGATTTATATCAGTGCTGTACAATTGGCGGCCCGCGGTTCAATTTATAGTGGCCCGCGAAAGGGTATTAGTCAAATGTGAAAATCTCTTGAATTCCATGTCGGGCGAGAACATTGCGCGCCTAGCGCATGCGCTCTATGGTGGTCAACACCCCATTAATGTAAAAATAGGTGACGTTAAGATATAAGAATTTTTGTGTAGTGAATTTAGAAATTCAAAACCATTGCAATGTGTTTCACTGCGTTATCCGTGGTCCGGCCCGATATCACGCATAGTTCCATTCCTCCCCCCTCCCTTTCAGAGCGGTAGGGCAAATTGTCGAGATAACAATATGGGGTCACGTGGGGAGCGTTCGAGTAATGAAAATATGACCCGCAACCATATTCAAGTTTTTAGTTGTGGCCCTGGGGGTCATGTAAGTTGGTCATCCCTGGATTACATAATGAACAGACCTAAGTGTCAGGCTATATGACAGTCTTCGTCCTTTGTTATGAAATATTTTGACATGATTGAAATGACAATATACAACAGCATTTACCTTTTTGCATGAGGACATTCATCTTCATTGCTTGAAGTGGATATTGACTCTTGATTTTCAACCTGAGTAGCATAACCGTAGTCCGAAAGTTCAGAAGAAGAGGGACATTTGACATTACTAGATGCGTCTGTCTTGCATGTACGTGACAAATTGTGACCATGTGAGGTAGGAAGCTACACAAAAGAGACAAAAGAAATAACAAATATTTACAAGAAATAATGAAACATTCACGAAAACATTACTAGCGAATTTGTACTTTGATATCTGCTTGAATCTCTCCTTCTCCAGAACGGTCTTTTTTACTTTTTGCACAAATTTTCCTGGATGTATTCAAGTTTTGCTGAACTTTTCTTCCAGAGTCCCCTGAACCTGATGATAAAACATACATCACAATTATGGTCATTGCTTCAACATTTTAGTGTTTTATATATTAATATTCTAAACCACTTATTCACACTATGTTTAATAAAATCCCGTAACTATTGCTTTTGAATTACTCTAGGATATCCCTACACGGTTTCGCACTTTGCTATATTTTTGTAGGTTTACAAAATTATATTAATATCCATATTTGACCTAATTGTAGTGCCTGGCTATCTTGTATTTATTTCCTGACATGATACAAATCTAATTCTCAGTTGCAGTTGGAACCTCCTCTACTAGTTTAATTTTAAAAATCCTCTGATTGTTACTAATCTAGTATTGCAGTGGCGGTTCGTGGTCGCACGGTTGCACAACCACCTGATAATCTTAAAATACTTACCACTCGGTAGGAAAGTGTCTTTTTGATTTAATGTTATTCAATAATCGAGATATACGTGCAATAGCAATACATGAAATCAATTTGAAATCAAAGAGCGCACGTCAAATGATCGCTTTTGTGTCTAGTTGCTAGCCAGGCAGCGCAACGATGCATCACGCATATGGACTTTAACATTGTGGAGCACGGCCGCCAGTCTAACGACGTTCGGGGCGCCTTCTCACGTTGCCACGGTGGCGCGCTGCCGTCAAGCAGCACAGCCCTTCCGACGTCGTCATCGCTGCAGCCACGGCCATACCGCCGCCCGCCGGAAGGGGATTCTGCAGGGGTAGGTTTCGCCGATGACGAAGAAAGGGACCGCAGCAGCTACGGCCGTGGCGCAGTGGGAAGCCTACCATTCAAAGCTGCGTTCTACTAGCGGTGGCGCGTACCCCCTCTTCCACTTCGCGTAGCGAGAGTCCGCCGCCTTGCTGCAGTGGCGCAAACCGTGGGAAGGTCTCCATTCAAACCAATGCTCTGCTACGAGCCGTGGTGCTCGGAAGCGCGCTGCGGTGGCGACGTGTGAACGTTCTCACGCGCAGCGGGCGGGCGCTGCTGCGGCAAATGGCGGAGGACTCTCGCTACGCGAAACAGAGGAGCGTGGGCGTACGCGTCATCGCTAGCAGAACACAGCTTTAAATGGTAGGCTTCCCACTGCGCCACGGCCGCAGAGCAGAGCTGCTGTTTATACATGCTGTGCGGTCCCTCTGTCCGGCGTCGCCGGAGAGTCCGCGAAGTGCCCTGCCACTTGACGGACGCGCGCTGCCATGGGAAGGCGCCCTTAGGGCGTCGTCATTGCGAGCACTCGATGAATCGTCGTGCGTTTTAGTGCCGTAACGGTAAATAGAAAGCGCCATGGGCTTCAACGCAAAACACTAGGCCTCAGCAGCCTTTCATCGGAGGGGAAGTTTCCTGTCTTCGTCCAAATATCACTGTAAACTATCGTGTTGTTAAAGGTACCTATAGTAGTTCCGTCAATTTTTGATTATTGAATGTAGCTTTTTGGAGGTTTGCAATATCCCCTCAAATTAAAATAAATTTCAAACTCGCAACATCTTCAGTTCGTTCACATCTTTCGGGGAATACCGGTTTTGGAGTTTTGAGGAGTTTGGGTTTGGACAGTTGAGGAGACCGCAGACGGTCGGACATTCGTTTCACTATCAATCGATTTTGGTGACCAAAATCGATTGATAGTGAAAAGAATGTCCCCCACAAAATATGAGTTTGACTACACAATGTGAGAGAAAGTAATTTACTTTCTATAGGAACAAGATTTATCAACTTTTATGTTACCATGACCCGACAATAAAAGTTTTTCTGATAAAAAATCGTGGCGATTTTCCACAGCTTTACAATACTTTCTCTATGCCAAGTAAGCAATTCACGAGAAAGAAAAAGAGCTTAACACTGGTTGCATTAGTAGAAACTCTCAGTTCAACGAAACATTTATTTAATAATTAAATTATATCATTTGAAAAATGCATCAAAGATTAGGTTAAATTAAATTTCCACCATTGGAGGTACCAGTCACCACTGATTGTTCAGACTAGAAAGGTCTGCATTTCAAAGATGAATGTGAGAGATTATCTCAAGGCATTCAGATTTTGAAATAATTTAAAATGGCCAAATTGAATCACTCACACACTATCAGAAATATTCAATAAGTTTTGTAGACAGAAACCTTATCTTTTGTAAAGACAAAATCTTCCACTCTTCTGTGATGTTTAGAGTTCCAGAAATCAGCAAAATAGTGTCATTGACACCGATTTGAAACCAACAAAATACAATTGCATTAAATCATTATTCTTTATTTTTAGCTAAAAATTAGTAACTGTTAGTGAAAGAAATTCTAATAAATCCAACAAACATGACCTTTAAAAACTACCATATAGGGCATTACTGGGATTATCACAATAAGGAGTAGCAGCTTCACAATTTTCTAAGAAAGTATCACAGTCACATTGTTAATAACCCCAGCCACATTTTTAGTCTGAGGTATTATTGACATATTCACTACAATACCAGCTATATTTGAAACTTCTTCTGGCCCTGGCTACTACTAGGTCAAATATGGTATTATGCCAATGTTTTAGGAATTTGATCTGACAAACTCTTAACTCTTCTGATGATCATCTATCCTTTTAGAAATGATAAAAATAATGTTTTGTATCTATTATTTGCTGACAGAAATAATATATTATTAACATTTTCACCAATAATGTTAAAAAGAAAACATGATTTCATGGGAGAACTTGATTGTAGCAGATGCTCCATATATTGCATTATTTTTCCACATAACTACCTCCAGAATTGAGTTATTTGTCATACCATGAAATCAACATTTGTATCCCTAGTTCATCGACACCTCCTGCTTTAAGTGCCAGTGTTTGACAACTACCAGCAACCCTGCTTTACAGTGGTGAATGTAATGCTAACCAGACAGGAAATTGAAAAAGACCATTCAAATAAAGCATTGCAGGATACTCAGCAAAGGTGCTGTCTTCCTGCATGATAATGTTTGGCTACAAATGCTTCAGCTCATGACATCTTTTGCAACAGGTCTGCTGGGAAGTGTCTGATTATCTAACCTATAACTGGATCAGGGCTGGACCACTGGACCTCAGCAATTTCCATTTTTTTCTTACACTTCAAGAAATTCCTGACTGTCAGCATTGCACATAATATCACAGTGATGAAGAGTTACAAGTGACTGTCCAACACTCGTACCTGTTCCAGACAGCAGACTTTTATGAGGCAAGCAAACAAATGATGATCCCAATGTATAACAAATGTCTCAATTCTGGTGGTTGTTCTGTGGAAAATGGTAGAACATACGCTGCATTTGTTACAAAGAAAGTTTGCCCATGAAATTTTGTTTTCTTCTATGTTGACAACCAAGAGAAATTGACTTTCTAGGTGAACCTTGTATTATCACAAACACATAAATAAGATACTATTTTAATTTTGAAATCACTAAGTTACATACTTTTACTGCTTCCTTTACTGGAATCTGAGTGGGAAGATAACTTTGAATGCTGCAACAAAAATGTCCAAAATTAATAAATAAAAAAAGTATAGTTTTAACCATTTGAATGACTGAAATTTGAAATATTTACATAAATGCCTGAAGTTCTATCAGAATCACTGTTTTTGCAATCCATTTCCATTTTACTATTAGAATGGTTCTGCAGTCTGGTCTCTTGCTGACTGTAACCATTGTCAGAAGAATCAGACGTCGGATCAGAGGTCAACATTGGTGATGACTCTCCACCTGATCCTTGATCCTAAAACATAAACAAAATATTACACACTTATAATTATAACTTAAAATTATAATGAAAATTTATCAAAACATAAGAATAAATAATTCCTATCTTACAGGAGGAGAAGTATTGCTTTCATTGTCTTCAGAACTTTCACTAAGAGAAGCTTCAAACCAAACATTTAGAAGTTTTTGAAGAGTTCCCACATGTTGATCTTTGTACATAATGGCAATTAGTTGGACCATTGTAACACCCCAGTAGGCCTGAAAAATATTGCACATGATATTTATACTCTACACGAATAAACAGGTGTACATGAATTTCTTTTTATTTTTAAAAAATATTGAGAATCCTTACATACCTTTTGAGCACATGTCATTAGGTGTATAAGAATTTTATCAATGCTTTGTGAGAATAAATTCCACAAGATCTGATTCTGTAAACTACAAGTAGACTGGTTGTTTTTTGTTTCTGGTATGTGGAGAACATTTCTTAAAAGCAGGAGGCAGTTATTGATACTTTCACATTCTTCCTCTGATAATTTTTCTCCCTGCAATGCAGTATATAAGAAACTATTTAAGCAACTGTTTTAGAATGAGGATTATGTTCATATAATGAGCTAAATATAAAACAGAAAAATAGCATGCATTGCAGGTTTTCACAGATCAAAATTCAGTGTTAGTGTTCAATGCTGACAAAAAGAAAGTGTAGACTCTACAAGCATTTAGAAGAGTACAATGTTAGGTTACTGTTATCAAAACTGAGTTGTTATTGATTCACAGAACCAGAAAATAAAGAATGTAAATGACTTACTCCATTTATAAAGAAACATAACAGGGGAAGTTTTGCTGAAGATTTTATACTGTATCGAACCTACAATTTAATTTATTATAGTATTTGGCATTGAATTGGTTACCTGACTTGATTCTGGATCTTACCCAACAGCCTCATTCAAAACCATTACCACACCTTATAATAAGTGCCAATGTGTGCCAAGGAAAGTCCCTCTGGATGCATAATAATATTCAAATTACAACAAGACACAGGCTTCAGATGGTATGTACCGTAAAAACTGAAACTTTGAAATTAAATGTTGTGGATATAAATACTAGAACTTAAAAAATATCATGAGATTGTTTTCACTCATTATAGGAACCCAATGCATGTGTGAAGGAAATTGATGGACACATTGCTATTGACATACAGGATCAAGAGGTATCAAAAAATTATCAAAAGCAAATTAGATAACTAGAATAGTTGTTTCGGCGATGGAGAAAAACCTTTCGTAAATAACAAAACCTGAAGTTGAGTTTAGATTAAATCTTATTTCATTTTAACATTATTTTATATTCAATTAACCAAAAAGCTTAAATGTTTTCATAATTGCAACCCTACAAATTATTCACAACTTTACCCCCTCATCCCACTCAAGAACCACAACAGAATCTCCTTTTTGGAACATGTTAATAAACACATACCATGCGATAATATTAATACAACATGGGTATGGCTATTACCATGTTAACATCATTTTCCTTGCTAACATAATTTAAATTAGAAATAAGTACTGGAAGATATGCCATAAACATAATGAATGTTTTTGAAAAAATATTACTTCAAAACATTTAAAGAAAATAAGCATAATTGTGATAATTTATAAATCACTTATTGCTTTCTAGTTGTATTAACCTGGTGTATTATTCTACAAAATTTCTACCCAGACATAGAACACGTATTAAGTAAATCATCTCTCTCCAGACCCAAGCAAATATTTGAACTGTCTTACTTGTTTTTAATAACAATATGATTATCCTCAATCATCAGTACCTATATAAAACTGTGAAAACAACTTCACAATTTGGAACAGATGAAAAAAAATATTTTTTCCCCCTATACAATGTAACATATTTATTTCTGATAAAACAAATAACACTAGTCATCACACAATGAACATTCTTAATGAATTGAGAGTATCGCATGTCTATCAAAAATAATTTGCAAATAAAAAATTATAAGGTACAGTAATAAGAACGTAAGATAATACTGCTACAATATCAAAAACAAAATCTGCAATGTGATTGTTTGGTCTGAAGAAAGACACAGTTTTATAAAATACTTTCAGAGTTTTTATAAAAATGGTCAGATATTACATCACACTACACAAGTCTAGAACTCAAACCAGAAATCCAACATCCCCATGATGCAGCTTTATGGTGACATCAACCCAAAATCACTCCTGGAAATCACACTCCAATGCTTCACACAGTCATTATCACAATTGCCAGCATCAAAACTCTTAATGTTTCAATCTATATTAAGTTTTCCCATTGGTTCAGTGTGCAACACTGTCATTGTCATGAAAATGACAAATGAAAAGGACATTCAATAGAACACTTTTTTTCAAAACGAAGTCTAATACTTTTCACAGAACCATTAGAAAACAATACATTTATATTGATAACAGATTCTACAGAAGATAAAAAGAATACAACAGACATTTTGCAAAGCATAATTTAGGGATATCACAAGGAAAGACACAATGTCACAGAAAAAGTGAGAGTATTTTTAGTGCATTGTTTAAATACAGAAATGAAGAGAAGATAAATATGACAGTCAACTTGGATTATCCAGTCAAAAAAATACTTATTATGACACAGGAATAAACATCAACTTCAATAAAGTACTATTAATTAATAAATATTTACTTGATACAATACTTTTTTCATTCCATAGTTTCAATGTTTTGTGGCAGATAACAAACATACTCTGTTGATCTCTAGTCAAACTGTTTCCCATGATTTATCTACAAATACTTTGTACTATTACTTTATGGCAAAATCTTTTATAGGTGTAACCTCTCCCTCTGATAATGTATTAATAAACAAGTCTCTTCTAGAATATATTTAGAGTCTTTGTTAAGTCTTTGAAATGTCTAAGTTTCCTTTAAACATAAATGAAAATTCATGTTATTTGTTTCAATTATGATTAATGTTCTTAAAAACACATTTTCAACAATTTAAGTGTTTTCTGTTAAGGATTGTTTCAGTCAATATTTATAATTGTGTTAAGGATTTTTTTTTCAGTCTTGATTGTCAAAATACTCTTTGTTCCATTTTATTTTTTCTATACCACAAACATTTTTGTCTGAGATATTTAACATTCTTTTGACCAAACATTTACAATGAAAACGTTACAAGGAAACAAAGATTTCGGTTCTTTCTTTGTTCCTTTACAAGAAAGTTTTCAATACAAGAAGATGGTGTATTAAACTCAAAAACCACCAACTTGTGTCTCTATATTAACGTGAATTTTAAACGCTGCCAAACACCAAAATTATCTTCTTTGAAGTCATTGAAACATATATATGAAGCATTTTTTTTAAAACTATATTGCATTATTTATTTCAACCACACCTTCATCACATTTCAACGGTCATCGTTGACAATAGTTATGCCAGTTTCAAAACATTTCTCAACATTTCTCGCTTGCCATTCAGCATGGCGGCCAGCGTCTGGCCGGCATTTTAATCAAAGTGCCCTTGTCGTCACATGGTTCGTGACGAGCTGGTGCTGCGCTGAACGAGCAAAAATCGATTATGCTGGACCAGCTCATCTCTAACTTTTCATCATGGTAAAACTAGTGAGGTCTAGTGTAGATTACTGGGTAAAACTGCTCGCATGAATTCATCAGCCGCCCATCCCAATTCTCAGAAAGCTCTAATGTTAAGGTCACTGGGTAAAGATTATCGCATGCACCCATCAGCCATTCCTGCCCCTTCTCACAAAGCACAATATTACCCTCGCGAAACAATGGCCGGCAAAAGGAAAAGTACCCGAACAAAAGTTGACAGTAGCCAGTATTCCCTGAGGTCTATATTTGTAGGTCATTTATCATGTACAAGTGTGCAATCCGGACTAACCTTTTGCTCTACTGCACAGAAATATTCAACAGCAATATCAAAAGCCAATGAACTGGTATCAAGGTCAGGAAGAGAGACACATCTAACCAATAATCCCACGAGTTTCGAAGTATGATCACGAATAAAGTTAAAATAGGGATCACGGGGTGGTCGGGGAACCGAGAAATGGGATTGAGAGATGCAGACGACAGAACCAAATACGACTTCAAACAGAAAGATTCGCGGAGACAGATTCAAGCGAATGGGGACTGAAATCCACTGTGGTAACTATTGCTATTACAAGCAAGCACGTCTCATATTAAAGTGACACTTATAGCGCACATACTCCGGTGTCGTTTGACGGCCAGAAGATATAAGAAACACTCGAGTTCGGTACGTGTAGGGTGTCCACATCCTCACCGATTAAAAAGAGAAAAAGAGCTTAAGAAGGGAGGGCATTTGATGAAAAGAGAAGACAGTCCATACTATTTAAAAAATGAGACAGTATGTGCAGGTTACATTGTATTTTTACGGATATATTTTGACAGATGTGAAGTACTGATTCTAGCAAAGATTAACGAACCTTTATTTGAAACAGAGACGTACCTAGGTTCCAGGAATACAAACTTTGCATTCAGTTTTAGAATCACTTCCTTCACATTTTGAGTACAGGATATTTGCTGACAAGGGCATTGTTAAACTTCCATTTCCTCTTTAGCATTTTAACTATCTCAATCCATCTTTAGCAAATATGTGTCTAGCAAAACAAAAATCGCGTGCGTTTCCTTCCTCGACAGAATCACCAACAGTTCACAAAATTACTAAGAACAAGAATGAGTAAACCACTCGAATTACACAGAGAAGAGAGAATCTTCCGGCGATAAGGCTGCTACCTACATTCATATTAGTTAGTGTAAACAGGAATGAAAATGAATAATTTCAAAATATCGTGCTCTCAGTCTCGCAAATTACGGAGGACATTTCGAGAGTTTTAAAAAATCCACCCAGACCGCGGACCAAAGCTCAAAAAGAAAGACATGTCTGGATAAAAGAGGACGTCTGGTCACCCTAGGTACGTGTAAGTCTCAATCACGTTCCCGAGCTTTGTCATCGATATCCAACACACCGTTCGTGCGTGGCCTCTGCTGGCTGATCTGGACTTCGAGGACATCCCGAGAGGATGCAGCCGCAACGCGCCACCAACGCGGGCCGCTCCGTAAGCCGCGTCTCGGGCGAATTGCCGAAGATCATGTCAACGGCAAAGCAATGAGCCGACTCACTTGTCTACGCCGCTGCCAATGAATAATGGGCTTTAAAATTACAATGGCAGTTGGCCCAAGTTAGCCGATAATGCGTACATCCAGAATTACAATAAGATATATGTAAATTCATATATTTTGTAAGATTTTCTTTTCTTTTTTTGTTAATAAACACGCATTGCCACTTTGGCGACGCGATTGTATTAACATGTGTGTATATAATTAATAACTTAGAATTAGCAGCATACCCCGACCCAGGGTAATGTTTTCGAGATCTCTAAGGCCGGCATTAAATCAGGCGATACCAAAACCCGCCCAACCCACTCCCTATGTACTTGGTCTTTGTTCCATATTTAGGAATATTATGTACAACACCGAGTCATTAAAAATATTGGTGGACCAACCTGGTTGCACATACGGCCAATAACATTACAAAATTGCAAATTGTTTGACTAGAAAATTGCCATGCTGATGAGAATGTTAACAATAATTATTGCATGAACTATCACTATTTCCATTTTCCTAAAAATCGTGGTTTTTTATCGCTATCCTCTTTCTTCTTCACATGAATAATTATTTATTTATTTTTGGTCCTTCTCCCATACTGCATCGTCTTCTGACTTTTTGATCATCTGAAAGTTTTGCGACTGTAATTTGTGTTCTTAGTGTTTCATTTGACGCCTCCTTTAAACATTTCCTTCAGGGTCATCATGCTTTCTTCCTGTCCCTCTCTTATTCTTGAATAGTTTCTACGTTCTCCAGCAAAATATAATTTATTTGAAATTCGCATCGTTTAATGTTCGTGTAATCAAGTAGTGAACTGCGAACTGTTACATCTACGGCCCTTTGTTTCGCGGGTAATTAAGGAGATTGCGCCTAACTTTTTTTGGGGGAAGTTTTTGCCAAGATACCTTATTTATCATTATTTTCCATATAGTGTATGTAGAACACATACTTCTATCGATGTGATTTATTTCTATTACATCTTTTGCAAAACGCATATTTGCACTCGCCGGGCGTCGAACTGAAAGACCGCGCGGCCTCATCTATCATATCGTGTAGCAAAATTTCGGCAACGATCTTTATTCATTTTCACGTTGCGTTTCACTTGATACAATACCTTTTGTTTGATATTCTCTCTCTACGGGCCCGTTTAAAAATGTTTATCCCAATCACCCACCAAATTCGCGGTTGCTGCCAAGAATAGGTCCGCGAGTGTAATTACGTGTTATAGATATAAGTGAGATTTTTATTATATTTTCAGCTTATTGTTATGTAAACATTTGCGGGAAAGGTAATATAAAAACACAAATCCTAACCGACTACTACTTAATCTGTGAATGCAAGACGACTCCGTATTTTACGATTGAGATATTTAAGAAAAAATCTTATAACCGGTAAATACAGCGTATACCAAAGAAATTATAAATAAATAAAAAATGATATAGATTTAGAGCCTCTTGTGTACCATGAAATTATTTAAATTTTGTAAAAAAAAATGCATTTGTAGTGCATGAAATTCAAGGAAACAATTTAGATTAATTCTGAATTTATACATTTTGTAAAATGGCTTCCCCACATTTAGACGAGATAAACCCAAATGCATGCTATATAATGTCATCTTACACTTGTCTTTAAAATAACAATGTTACAGCATTTAATGCAAGTTATTTATGATGTGCCCTCAAATAAGTACCACATTTCTTTCAATATCTTCACCCATAATGTACGAGTTTAATACCTCTCTTGTCCTTGTTTACCAATGGAAAATATCGATTTAAATATTAGAAAACATTTTCAGAAAAAAATCATTATGTGGGAAAAGTCTGATATATCTATCCATTCTATAATAATGTAAATGATACTTTTAGCATAAAGTTTTACAGTATAAGCCTGATGGGTCCAGTTGCATTTAATTTATGGAGCAATTTTAGGAGTTATAATTGTGGTACTATTACAACAGACAATTAATGTAATGGAGATGCATCAAATGCCGATTTTACACCAATTTAAATCACATCATAGAAACTAAATACAATGAATTCATTTTTAAAATTATACAACTGAAATGCAGTGAAATTCAACACTGCTATTTCTAATGGCACACAAAAGTTAATTTTTTTCCAGCTACATGCAAATCATCAAACATTATGCCGAAGAGATGTTAAATGATAAATCATTGAATTCCCTCAATCTACTTTAGAAAGAAATTTTTTAGGAGTCTTGAAGTTATCACTTACGATTTTTCAAGAAGAAAATCTCTGATCAAGAAGGAAAATATATTCATGATATTATTGTCCCGTATTTTAGAATTAACAATGGAATTAAACAAGAATAATCTCAATCACTACAAGCGTATTAGTATTCCTTCAGGATTCACATAGAAGTTGCACACATTTTTAAAAAAAAATTATAAACCAAAACCAATGAACGTTGTGTGTATTTGTTTGACTCTCTTAATTGTGTGACAATTCACAACAAATTTCTTATTATAAAGTGAATTGAAGTAATTCAAGTGCTTATGTACAAGCATCCAACAAAAGTCATAAAATGAAGGAAAACTATCATTACTTACGGTTTTGAGCCACATCAATAACTGATACAATATAACATTATTTAACAAATCATTCAAATCTGTCTTGGAAAATTCAAAGGCGATTGTTACCACAGACAATTGTCGTTAATACGCAAGAACAATTATGGCGTAGTAACAAAGATCCTTATTTCCAAAATCTGATATGAATCAAACTGTATACCCAGAATGGAAAAAGATGGGACACATTTATAATTACCTTTTCCAAAACTCTCTTCATGTGATTAACAAGAGCACGAGTGCTGCGTGCATCTACGAATGCTTCTTTTCCAGATATTAATAATTTATTAAGTTCTACTGTGGTGTGACGTCCAACATCAGTATTTAACATTACCTCCATTGGCACAAGACATTCTACTGGTATTGTAAGATTAACAAGAATCCTGAAAATGAAATTTATTTTTCCATTACTTGACCTCAATACTCAAATGACTTATTTCAGACTATTCCATTCGTGAAATTAAAACCAATAGTATTTAACTATACATATAAAAAGGCCAAGATCAGGGCGGTGTATCTCAAACAATTTATAGCTTTTCTATCTTAACCCCTCCTCTCTCGGGCCAATATTAAGCAGCGACTCGTCTCCCTTAGGAGCTGGTATGTAACGATAGCTATGTTAATATGCAATGTACTATAACTTCTTTCATTTTAACATGCTTTCAGTGAAGTTCAATATTTGGCGCATTTTGGAACTATGTTGGACCGAATTTCATTCCCGGAATTAAATACCTATTAAATACCTCTCGTGCTTCGGGAATTCTCAAAAAATCAATTTATTGACAATTTCCAAAGCACTCGTGGAATTACCTATGAAAATTTTACTACAAGGAAAGGCACTTACCTAATAGTAGCATCAATTATTTTGAAGTCATTTTTAACATTTATTAAAAGAGGTAGCAGATCCTGAAAGAAGAAAAACTCGTTACACAAATTTCGTTCAATTAGCAATTAAGACATATTTCTTTGATAAAACTATTTTTTCGAAACACAAGGAGAATTAACTTAAAACATGCACTAAACAATTAATGTAAATGTATGATTTTTACTGATTCTGGTTCCCTTTATACTCTCCTCCATGATCCCCTATTTTACCTTTTTTATAACCTGGGAAAATCCCAGGGTTCTTCTGAATGTCCATAGATTACGATCTTCTAAACGAAGTTTGTCAAGAACTTCACCCAGGATTGCTGCAAACATAAAAATACACACTACAATAATGAAAAATTGATTGTGAGAATACCAAATATCTGGAGATGAAATAAAACACCATTTGCCCAATGTCTATTCTCAAGGAAATTAAATAAATAAATAAGTAAATACATAATCAAACAAAAGGCAATCCTTGTTTTCTACTCACAAAGGCAATCCTTGTTTACATGGTATGAGTCCCCAACCTGAACTCCCACAGAGGCAAACGTTCCATGGACGTGAAGGGGATTGACTACCAACCATTCCATGATCCAGCAGTGGCTGAAACCAATGAAATAAAATATTTTTAAGTATTTGCTTCTAAAAGTAGAATTTCATTCAAATTATCTATTTGTCACAATTCACGAGACTTTCATAATGTAAGAGAAATAAATGCACATGTACTTTTTTTTTTCAAATTGAAGTACCATTACGTTTTAGTCTATGATGCTTTTGACCTAGTATGAAAACTGCCATTCATTAAAATTCAAGAAAATTATATTTATCCAGTCTGGAATTCAAACTCGAGCGCAACGATAACAAGTCAAGAAGTTCACTGCACTAGCCAGGGCTAGAGGTCTACCGAACGATATAATAAATTTATTTTCGACGCTATCATAAATTCTTGATGTTGAGATGTTTTTAATACAAAACTCAAAACTCAAGTATTTTATGAAAAGAGTACAGGAAATGATTTAAATATCAAGTACAGAGGAATGGATTGCTGTAAGAAAAATGTCTCGCGATTCAATAAAAAGATGTAAGATGTTCGTAAAAATCGAGGTCTTGCAATTTTCAGTTCCAGAGATTTTATTAAAATAAATCATATACCATGTTATTAGCGAACTTTACACCATTGAAATATTGAAATTAATATGTATGTATATATTTGGAGCTATTTTTGGAAGAACGAATTTTACTTATCTTCCCTATACTGTAGAATACTACGCAAAAACTAATCATATTTCTAAGACTTTTACCGGCTCACGCATTAATTGACGTTATTGCAGTGCTTCTAACAAGAAGTTCCTAGGGTTCGAGTCCGGGCAGTGGCGGGATTTTCGACAATTTGTACGTCGAAAATGTGTAGGCCGCTGTCTGGGAGAGAATTCTAGCGACCACTACTCTTATCGATAGTTTTCCGTGGTTTCTCCAATCAACACCAAGAGAACGCTTGAGAAGTACACTAAGAAACGGGCCATGGACCGCGCACGATCTGTCCTACTTCATCCTCCACCTGTCTTGACCTCTTATTTACTAACATGTCGGGAGACCAGTTGGAGCTTGCCCCGGCTAGGGCGGTGCCCCGCTGGTGGGAGATACCTTGTTGAGAGAAAACGCAATACGTGAGTCGTTAGGCAATATCGCCATTCAGCAGGAGAAGATCGCCGCTACCTCCCACGGTAAAACATATACTACACTAACGAGACTGATGGCCTTAGCAGTCGCCGCGCGCGGAATAGCTAAACAATCAAATTGTATTTAATTTGGAAGAACATATTTCATTGCAGAAGAAAATCTACTTTAAATATGTAGGGGATCAAAAAAAATTTAACTTTTGCAATTTTCGAAAAACGTATTCTTGCAAATCTGGCACATATAAAAAGCGATTTCTTATTGCAAAAGCGATTTTTTTATTAAAAGTAATGGTGCTACAAGATGACTAAAACATTCTCGGACTAGTTGGTTTTCTAATTGCTTTGGTCTGGGCTAGCTTTTCAGTTTTGCCTCACCTTTCCAGCTATCAGCTATAGCCCCTTAAAATACATTTCCTCAATGTTTCGATCCCATAATGATAGAATTAAATGTTATGAATATTATAAAAGAGGAAAACATCATCGTACATGGCAATCATTGTTGAAAATTTTAGAGCAGTTTTTGGGAAAATGTTTACATTTTCTGTAAAGCGAAGGTTGAAGCTCTTTTTCATAGAAAACTTTTGAGTTTTGGAGAAACTACATTGGAAATCATTTGAGGAACTTTGACTCACAAATGCAATAATTTGTAGGTGGGATATTAACGCGATAGAAAAACGTCTAGTACTCCCATATAAAGAAAACCAACGTTGCACCTCAATACAATCCTCAAGTCACACTGCTCTCGGACATAAATACTCGAGGGAGAAGACAATGAGATTACGATCCGGAAATACACCGGTAGGAAGCTCGTACGAGGAACTAGGAAGGCTTCTTCGCATCCGCGTCCGGCCGACGCGACGGACAGTTTAAACGAATTAAACGCGCTCAGCTATGTGCAGCGTGGAGACACGTGGGGAAAATTGAAACCGAAGACGGAAGCTCAATAGGACAAGGAACAAAACGTAAGGAAATGCGATACTTATAGACACGTCAAATTCTTGAAGATATATAACTTAAGTTGATGATTTTCCTTTCAAATTTAAACGAATATGTTTTTAGGTTGATCTGGGCTGTCCGGGTGACGCCGCGTCGAAGGCTGAGTTGCCGACGTTTCGACCATCCTATCGTGGTCTTCCTCAGGGCTGGTATGCCCTGCTCGCTGGATGCTGGATCACCCACATGACTCTTGCCGCAGAAACCTACGACTTCGAATATTTTTTTAAGTGAAACTAATAATTAAGTTAGTCTCAAATTTTAAAAGTATAGAGACCTTTCCCCAATACTAACGTAAGTACTTATATATAATGCGTCAAGAGAATAGTTTATATAAACACTATGAAATTCACCAAGTAATGTATTTCCATAAATTCATTGCATATTCGAAACCATGAAATAATGGAATTATGAGATTGATCACTGTGCAGGAAAGATGCTAACAAACGGACTATATAACTTTACCATCTACACGAAGAATATTTGACGAACTACACGAGATTTGCTATATTCAGTTCACAAGTCATATTTTACAAACTCTTACAAATTATGTATTGAACATGTGTCTTTTCATATTCACAGAAGTTTTATTCAGATTAGGTTTCGGGGACTTATTTTCAACATCAGCACTATCATATTTCATCTCAATTACCAGTCAGGGTCATTTTCCTCGAGCCAAAGGTTCTCTATACCGCATTGTGGATGCGATGGAGAGATCTTTGGACGTAAAGGACACGGGACGATTGTTTACAGTTTGTTGGTACTGAAGTTTTTCTAAGTGCCTTGAATATAGATGGGTAAGATTTTGGACATTTTTACAATTCAACAGAGGAAACTAGCAACAATTAATAAACTAGTGGTCCTGCACAATGTCAAACTTTTTCGTACTAATTAGATTTCTAATTTCTTCAACATACGTCAGCTTTTCGGCCTCTTCCCAGGTGATATCAATGGTCCCGGGGCCTAAAACACCTTTTAGTATTTTCTCAATTTTTCGGTCTTTTAACTGTAAAAACTCAAAAAAATTGAGTAATTTTTGAGAAGTGTTTATTATTGATTTGTGTATTTTACTCTATTCTTTCAAAAAACGTAAAGAAAAAAATTGGTGCAAGTTTCAGAAAAAAATGAAAATGTTCCAGGGGCTTCGTGCATAGTACCTCCAAAATTAAAAATGTTTTTCAAAATCGCGGAGCTTTGAGTCGGTCTAGATCGACAAGGGACTGTCGGGCGGGCGGACGTTTTGAAAAAAAAATTCGGAATCAACGACCCACAATTTCTGAAATTTGAGTGCATAACGTGTTAGATGAAGTAATTTACTACGTATTAGAACTGGACTTACCGACTTTTTCGGTATTAGGGCCTCACAATACGATTTTTTGTGTCAAAGAGATGATTTTGGCTAAAGAGATGGCGGCGGCGGTGGTGTAACGGTTAGCGTATTGGACTGTTGTACCCAAGTTGGCGGGTTCAAACCCGATCGAAGCCGTGATTTTTTAAGGGCGAAAAGATCCTGTGTACGCCTTCTCAACGAAGGGAAGTAAAGGCCCGGCTGTCTCATGTTCGTGAGATTACTTGCATGTAAAAGATCAAGCCTAAATGACGCCTCCTGAGCTAAATTCAAATCGCCTTTTCTCCGCGCAAGAAATAAACTCTTTCCTCTCCTAAGAAAGAGCAGTTAGCGAAATTTGCGTGGTCGGAAGAGCGGGCCTGATGGCCCGAGTCTCGCCACGTAAAATAAGGCATATTCAATTCAATTCAATTTTTACAGCAGATTTTTGTTTAACCCAAAAACTCTATTTTCAATTTTGTACGTATGAAATGTTAAATTTTTGCAATTTTCAAAAATACAGGGAGATTGGCGAATATGCTACTAGCGCTAACGTCTACCGTCCTTTGCTACGAACGAGAACAAAATTTAAAGAAAAAAATTAGAACCGTTTTTGAGAAAAAAATGTTTAAAAATATTAGAAATTGCCCACATTTTGCGCAGTATTACGCGGAAGCAACTGACATTTACGAAGTATTGTACAGGATCTTATTTCAAAATATTTTTTAAAGAACACATTTTATTATGAAAACAATTATATTTTCAAATTGTTGTTGTAGGAAGACGACGAAAAATGTAATTTTCGAAAAGTTAGGAATTTCTACGCAAATGAGATCTGCCCCATTCTCTAAAGCGTTCTTTACGCTACCCGCTCAGTAAGTTTAATAAAAAAAATTGAAGCCATTTTCGAGAAAATTTTTAAAACTGTTGAGGGTTTATATACAGTACCCTCCAAAATACAAAAAATTCCATTTGAAATTCAGAGGGACACCTGTTCATTAAAATCGATCGTGGAATATCAATTTTGGAAAACATCAGCTGAACAGTTTAAGCGCAAACGAATAGACTGATTTTGCCGTCAATCGATTTTTCGGTATCACGGACGCGCAAAAATGGATTCTGTCTACATAACGTGCTAGAAGAAATAAACTATCTAGGAACAAGATTTATCCACTTTTTCATTACCAAGGCGATACGATTTTTTTCTATCGAAAATTTGCGGTTTTCCGGCGCACGATTACAATACTTTCTCTTCTTACAAGAAAGGGCGAGGAAGTAAAAAGAAAGCAGTGTAGGTTATGCCCGACAAATCTCGCCGTGAAAAGTGCATCAAAATCGGTTCAGCCGTCTCAGAAATTAACTAGGACAATCAAACAAAGAAAAATTGTAAAAACATGAAAATACCATTTTATGTCATACAAATTACCGTATGAGACTATAAAACGCAGTTATTTTTAAATCACAGACACTACAATTTTTATTATTAAGAAATAGCTTTCGCTAATATTACAAAATATTGTAAATTCTTTTGGCATTCTTCACTCTCGTTACGAGTTGATTTTCTTGTACAGTTTATTGTTTAATGAAGGCTTTCTGTCTAGTAC